ATGGCTCTGACATTGATATCAAAGGTCGATATCCATTTTTAACTCGTTATTTTACACCATTGGATTTGGCTGTAGATGAGGAAAAAATACCTTATGCCAAACTTATAATAAAAATAACATTGATGAAACATTTTAATGAAGATTACAAGAAGAATCTTGCCTTATATATGGAAGCTTATGCTGGATCGTTAGACTATAAGGAATTGGCTGCCTTCCTCAGAAATTGCTGTTCAGAAATAGATAAAATGAAGAAAAATAAAATCAACGAAAACCTTTCCTTCTATGAATTTGCTTCCTCAATGAAGGACACAACAATAAAACCATTATATGCAAGTAGGACAATAACAGAAAAAGAAGTTAGTGCTGACTTTCCTCTTTACTATGATATATTTTGGCCCAACATGAAACTATGCCTAGAAAGAGCTGATTTGTTGAATAAATTGAGCAAATTACAAATATATGTGGGATCAACTTCTCCAGTTCAAGATCTAGATCAAAAGGTTTTTCTCAACTATGACTGTTTGTATACGATTGGGGGATACTTATCTAATGATGATCTTTTGAACTTTATATCGGGATTTGAAAAAGTTTTAAATAGTTTTCATATATTCCGAGCAACTTTGTGGAATTAAATCTAAGAGACAGTTAAGCCAATGGTATAGGAAGTTTGAATTAGGCATTCTATGGAGCTGTGATACTCTTTAAGTTTTATTTTTTTTTTTTATAGTCTGGCATGGGCCACATTATTTCATTTGGTCTGAGAATGATATAATGAATTTTTTTGTAGGTTTAATGAATACTTTGATTTGTGCCGCTTATCATATGATAAGCATAAAATCTACATGTGCTAAATTAAATAATGCAATAATTTATCTTTTACTATTATATATAGTATATTTTAATATTATATATAGTAAGGATACATTCTGTTGCCTTAATCTTCGCTTAGTATTTCCTTTATCTGTTGCTTTGGTTAGTCCTCATCAGTATGAATTACTTTCAGTATTGGTAAAGCTGGCAGAATGTAGAATGGTTCAATATTAGGAAAAACATGGTCAATTCTGTAATTATTTAAAACAATCACATTTCTCTTGGTAATGAATATTATTGAGAAACTTTTAGAGGAAATATGGGAAGAATAGAGGTAACACATATCCTTATCCTTACATCATAACATCAATCTTATTTACAATTGATAATTTTTTGGCTGTGAATTTATCTGATAATAACAGAAAATAATATAATTATCTGTTTTTTAGTTGTGGAATATTCCTAGCTGTTTTGCAGTCCTTAAATTTTACATATAAATTTAATTGACAAGAATAAAACTAATATCTAAAACATATGAATAAAATTAAATGTGATTCAATCAAATTGCAATTGTGCTGATTAAATTTGATAAGAATTTTGTGTGCTAGTCAACGATCTCTTTATTTATTTTTTTAAATTAAACATTTGGTAATTTAAAAAAAATGTTTTAGATTAATATTTATTAAGTAGTTATTTAGTTTTAAAAAATGTTATATTTGAATAATTTATTCAGCATTATCTGAAATAACAAAGTATTTATTAAGATTAAGATATAGTCAATGTTTTTAGTTTTATTTTAGTTACCACAGCAGTCTTTGAGGATTTATCTGTTTAGTACTTTTCTTGCCAATTATATCTGATACCATTGTTAAAAAACTTATTGTTTTTGTTTACTATCACTCAATATAGAGTTATGTCAACTTATCAGTTTATTCCTTTAATTTCTCCAGAATAATTGCCACCTTCATGAAGCTGTAATGATGTTAACGATTAAGCATGGTGCCCACTTAGACTGAACCATTCTGGCTTCCTAAAAAAAATGTTTATATGCCAGTAGAAAAGATCTAGTGCATGGACTTGCTACCTATTCAATTGTATTTAATTTAAAAACAGGATGGATGGTCTAAGTAGGCTCCTTCCGATAATCGAAACATTTTAACTAAACAAGTTAATATCTTTTAACATGCTCAAAGTCAATAGCTAACATGCTATTGTAGGTCCAGGTATCTTTAAGTGTCCACCTGGCACCTGAATAAATATGATTTAACCTTTGTCATGGGGGGGGGGGTCCCCCAATACGACACCACCCAACTACTCCTAATCTCTTTTAATTTTAACTATATAATTTCATAAAATTTTATCTCAACTGTAATGCGGTATCCATCTTATTTATCGAAGCATGAATTGCTACACTTACCTTTGCTATTATAAGTCTAGTCAGAAGAGCTTAGTCATAATCTAATTGATCAATAATGAAATAGATAACGAAAACATTTGTATTTTATCAATTTTTTCTTACTTTGTTTTTCTTTTGTAATATTATTGTATTAAAAATTATTTAAACAAATTAAAATAAAATTTGAGACAATAATCTAAGTTTTCATTGATCCTAAAACAGTGAATGTACTTAACAATTTAAACATCTATTAAAGATTTATTTTTAAAAGTGGGAATTTCATTCTATTACACATGGTAATAAACTAAAGGACTTCTTTTTGTTTAGTTTCCAATATGAATGAGTGTATTCTGGAATATGTTTTGAAGAGAGTAAATTGTTGTTAGGATTAAGATAAATAGAGAGAAGCTACTGTTATCTTTGGCCATTTTTATTCCTTGTTACCTTGTACTTAGTTTAGAGTGACAGATATTGGGTTATTTCACTACATTTTTTTAAACAATTCTGTTTCTGTAGACTTTGTTTGTTATAGATCTACAAAGTGTAAGGGAACATCTTTCTGAATTTGACCAATGATGTTAAAATGCAAAGATCTATAAGCATGGAAGGTAGGCCGCCAATTTAGGGGTCAGACATTGTGTAATTTAGCATTAATGAGGAAACAACCAGTAGATAAAAGAATTCATGATTAGGTTGATCAAAATCTACGTCAATAAATTATTCTTTAATGAAGAGAAGAATAGTTGGGGTGATCAGTCAATTAAGAAGGTAAAAATAAATGATACTATTTATTTTGATATTAGCCGATGTTTCGACCTGAAGTTCAGTCCATTATCAGGGCTGACTGCAAAGATGTAAATCGAAGCAATTTACTAATAGCAAGCAAGTAAAGATTTAAATCGAAGCAATTTACTAATAGCAAGCAAGTAAAGATGTAAATCGAAGCAATTTACTAATAGCAAGCAAGTAAAGATGTAAATCGAAGCAATTTACTAATAGCAATTTGTTTGCTTCGATTTATATCTTTGCAGTCAGCCCTGATGATGGCCTGAACTTCAGGTCGAAATGTAGGCTAATGTCAAAATAAATAGTGTCATTTATTTTTGCCTTCTTAATTGACTGATCACCCCAACTATTCTTCTCTTCATTATTCACGACAATCAACCATCAACCCACAATTATAAATTATTCTTTAGTTCTCCACCATCTTAGGCATCAGGTCAAAGTTAACAAAACAATAATTCTCACATTTTTATATTTGTTATGTTTTATTCCCTTCTTTAGTTTATAATATGTCCAGGTATTTATTGGTAATTTCAATGATTATTCATAGGACCAAAGGTTCTAAGAAACTGCTAGGCACACCACCTTTGCTCTGAAGTGACATTAGAAGTGTGAAATTCCACTCTTAATATTCCTAATCGATTAAGACATTTAAGATACCCAATAAAAGTGGTGTAATTAACAAGAAGGTCAATTTTGTAATTGGTATATGAAACAATGCTTAAGTGTTTTCCAAGATGAGCCAAACTTACACTGTTCATAAATTATACACAATTGAGACATCACCTAAGTATTAGATGATGGCGAATTATAATTTAAAATGTTATGTATTTTATTGATAAAAATGATTTGGTTGTGTTCACTAATGGAATTTGCTAGCTCAGCTTTTTATTAATATTACAAAGTACTAAGCATCCATGTTAGGGAGTTTATCAGCATTTCTTGGTGGGTCGTCTAACGAAATTCATTTATAGCATACTGCAAATATGGTACTGAATTAAATGTAAATATCATTAAGTTCTGGACTGACTAAGATAGACGGGATGTGGTAAATTCAGCTGAAATAATTTTGACTTTCCTTAGAGTAATGGAATGAGAATAGTTATGAATTTGGGTTTTAAATATACGAAATGAGTAATCCTTTATTTTCAACTGTTAGTAGAATAGGTAATACAAGGATTACATGGAAAACGTTATAACGTTACTCAGGTAAATGTATATGCAACAATTGGACAAAATTAAAAGAAATGATCCTTAGACTGTGATTGAGTTAGATGATTTCCATTCTCAAATACAGAAGAAATCGGTATTCATTTTCACCACTAGAAGATACAATATGCATTAAGGGACAAATTATTATTGTAAACAATCAGCTTGGTGGTGTTCAACAAGCTATCTGTTAGTACAATCTTTCATCACAAAGATAAACTTAGAAAATTGGACCTCACCAAATGGCATTATTATACAAATAGATCTCATCCTGGCATTTCAACTGAATAAACTATATCAGATCATACTGTGGACCTGATGTGAACTCAGACCACTAATTAGTTGAGGCAAAGATAACCTACGGAATAAGACTTTATGCCGTCGAAATGAGTAACAGAGAAACACAAAGGAGACAAACTCATTCAAATCAAGTATTGAGAAACATCCATGTAGTTTTGAAAGAAGAGAGCGAGTCAATTCCACCTAACAGTATTGATATTAAATTATTTTTTTATAAATTAAAAACGACTAAGAACCAGAATCGGATAGCACACCAGTTTAGCAATTACATGTGGTTATTCTTTATAGACAATAAAACTGCATGACTGAGCCATCAGGAATAGACATCCCAGTTAAGCTCACAAAATTTCATACTTACAATGTATCTAAGGAAGGAGACAATGCACAATGTTGAGGTTGGGAATTTCGGACTTATTCTTAAAGAGCTCAGGACCAAGGCAAGGAGGTTCTCTTGTCCCTCTACTGTTCTAAATGTTAATGACTGAAAATCAAACGCAAAATGTGTATTTAAATTATTTTATTTATTAATTTTATTCCGTATTTACATTTATTTCATTATCAAAAAGAGTTAGAATTTGACAAATAATGATAAACATTTGACAGCTGTTATTGGAATTCTTTTAGAAAGATATTAAAAATAATAATAACTGGAAATATATATACAAAATATATATAGCAATAATTATTTGGCGATCAAGCTAATTAAACTTTATCTTTTTTGCAAGATATACAATATTACGAGCAAGATCCAGATCTTTAGGTGTACATCTCATGTACATTTTCGTGAATTAATTCTTTTCCCTCAAGACTGTCGCAGGTCTCAGCTGAAACAAACATACAGTAAGTTTATTTCCCACTTAATTTTAACAAACTCATTCTATATAAAATAATGATAAATTTATAGTTGAAACAAATAAACAGTAAGTTTTTTTCCCACTTAATTTTAACAAACTCGTTCTGTATAAAAGAAAGATAAATTTATATTATTAGTTTTATAGATTAAATTTCAAATTGAATTCAACTACTTAGTCATATCAATATTGATTGTTGGAACAAAAAAAAAAAAAGAAACAACAGTTAATCAATAAACTCAGTCATTATACATATACTTTAAAATTAAAAAAAATCTTAAGACAGATCCACACTAGTAGACATGTTGCATGATCGTTGTCTTTGAGACATGTCTCAGTTTGTCTACGTAGACGTGTCTATAGACCAATCCCCGTCTACAGGTCTATTGTGAGAACAAAAATTGCAGGTCTAACGTCTCGCAATCAGAATGGAAGACGTTAGACATGTTGGGCAACATTTTGATAGTGTGGACATCACTTGTGCCTAGAGGCAAGATATGTCCCAATCTGCCCCCCAGCTACCAAGTGGTTGGTTAGGCTGTTTACAGTTATTTCCATAGTTTTACAGTTCTTTTGAAAACATGTAGTCGAACAAGAAAATTTTAAAACTAATTGAAGATTACTATGATGTCTCCCAGTCTTAGTTTATTTAATAATGCATTACTGAACCTATTACCTTCTGTGAGCACTTAGCGTGTCCATCAACGTTAAGGTTTTCGCATTCTTTCACTTTAATTAGCACAAAGCAGGAACTCATTATACATAAAACTATGTCCTCCATGGTAGGCTTTGAAGATGAGACTGAGAAGTTCACATCGTAGTGTGAATGCTAGACGAGACAAAGAACGGTTTCTCTAGACAAATCACAACAATATCTACTAATGTGTACTAGGCTTTAGAACTTTTACAACAGAATTTTTTGTTTCGTAGATAATTTCATTATCATTTAAATAAATACATATATGATCCCAAAAATCTGGTGCAGTGCACGCATCACACAACTTTCACTTACCAGTAAATACCTCTTCTTAGCGGAAAAAGGTATTTTCAGACAAAGGCGAAGTGAAAGTAAAAAATTATAGATGCTATATTTATATATAATTCATTATGGGTATTTTTATTTGTATAAGCACCCTTATATATACAAATTTTAATATTTATATCACTGTAATCTATACAATTAAATATTAAATAATACCAACAACAGCATTCATGAAAACTGCATATGCATATTTATATAATATTGTCAGAGTCCGTATTATATTAAGCTTATGTTACGTTTGGAAGCATGCTCTAATCTTTCGGGCGAGCCTGTGTGCGCTCTTATTCCTTTGGTTCCTCAATTACAACTATTCTCCGTTACGATCTCTTATTTCTCTTCTATTTAATCATAAAATTTTTTCATATGTTATATTTAACTATCTTTTATTTTAGAGATTAATGTGAAATGGTAAATTTTTTCAAATAAAAAAAATTAAAGGTATTTTAAAGGAAGCTAATATTGAAAATTATCCAAGCCCTGCTAGAGAAAATAAATCGAAATAAAAACTACATTTTATTTAAAACTGCTTAATTTTACATTGATATGCCGACTTTGATCAAAATCGTTAGAGCTGTTTTTGAGAAAATCATAAAAATTTGTTAGTCTATTATATAAAGTTCCACTTCCGGTTAGCCAATTTTGACGGAAATGTTGCTGTTACATCCCTAGCATATAAAAACCTTAAATATGCAATTTCACTTCTGTACGACTTTTTGTTTTTGAGCTAGACTGTTAACACACACAGACCATTTTGCGGGACATGGTTATTTGGACTCAGAGGACCTCAAAACATGTATTTCCGTTGAAAACTGAGAATCAAAAATTTCAATACTTTTCTTTACTATATATTTCATATATAAATAAGTGAAAGTAAAAATGAATATTTTCTGGGTTATTTGGAAATAAAGTAATGTTCATCATAAAGTTTTTCTAGCTGCATTGTGGGGAAGTCTGTTATAGAACACACTCATATATATAGAGAAATTTAAATGGCATCATGGAAAAGACTTCAAGTTTTGTCTTAATTCTTACAGCTGTTTTGGTGCTACAATCCATACAAACATGTTTGTCAGCCATTTTGAAATGGAATGGCAGGTAATAATGCTGCGTTCCAAAGATCATTCTAGATAGACCTGTAAGTTAGGTGCCAAATCTAAAATAATAAATTAACCTTCTTACTTATTTGAGATGGGCTGTATGGATACTATATCTTAAAAAATGCTAAAACCATGAAAAAGAAGTAGAAAAATTAAGACTCTCGAAAGATGCTTTATATAAACAGCAACTTATTTCATGTCCATAATTTAAACCATCTAACTTTATTTGGAGAGGTTGCAGAGATGCGCAAAACTTTAAAAACAGGGAATAGTGGGAGAAACCATTTAGACATGACAAAATTTACACAAACATGTTATTATTCTGCCAAGAAAACAGCTGTACATACAAAATTTCAGATCATGGCGGTGCTAAATGTAAGCAGGAGGGGAGAAGGGACGATAAACAAATATTATTAGAGAAGTTGGTTGGGTATTGCAGTCTTAGAAGTATATTTTTAAGTAAGATCATAATTTAATAAATTTTATATTAAAAGTTAAAAAGTATACCAAAAATAGCAAGCATAATAAATAAAGTGTAATCGCTGTTTCCCCTTCACTCTTTATAAAATAATTGATGTGATTGGCAGGACTTTTGAAACGATGAGGATTGCCTTCCTTGAGCTAAGAAGAGAAAACGCAAGAATGGGACTCGTCATTAATGAAACAAAGACTAAATATATACTTGTGAATCCTATAGGTCGAGGTCAGAGGGGCTGTTTCAATATAATCCTTTATATTGGTCAGTGCAACTTTGAGAAATTCACTTCAGAAACACCTCAAAGCAAAGATACATACAAAGGTTCATTTATCAGACCCATGCTGACTTAGGGATTGGAATGTTGAACTCTTCTGAAAACTCTGGAGCAGGCTCTTGCAAGATTTGAGATCTGAATTCTCTACAGAATGGTCTGTAGTGATGGTGATTGGAGGCAACTCACTAATTCAGAACTGATGGCTCTTAACAATGACGCCAACATCACCACTGTCATGCTAACTACAGTGAGCAGCATATGTCGCAAGAATGACCAATGATCAAATCTCAAAGGTAGATGTATGAATGGTTGTGCATGGTTATGGCAGACCAAGGCTGTTGATATTTAGTCCATCCATAAAGACTTAGATAGGAGTGACACAACAAAGAGGGCGGTAATCATTATTATGGTTGGCTTTGCCACCTTTGGAGTGTAGATCCAGATCACAAGACATAGCTATAGATAAGGAACATGAAGGTTATTATTTATACTATAGACATATGCAAAGCAGTTTTCATTAATGTTACCTCTAGTATTAATTAATTCTCACACACATTATTTCAATAAGCCTCAAAAACGCTTTTGTACCAAATATATAAAGTACTGTCAACTTCAAAAGCATGAATTGAGTGAATTTGGATTCAGAATTATAGAGAGGTGGTTAGCGAATCATATTCTCATTTTTTGTTTTATAAAAACAATATACAAAAACAAGTCGATATAAACATTTCATTAGGCCTCAAAATAGGGACAATGACTAAAAATACACAAATTTAATATACGGATGGAAAAAATATATGTTAATTAATTGAGAATAATTATTACTTTCACCTCCCTATATTTGTTAGGGCTGGGATCTCCAACCTACAGCGCATGGGCACCAATGCGCTCATGTGATGTCACTTGTTCCTGCCTATGTCTAAAATAACCTTTATCAACGATCACCCTGGCAATGGTTTTAATGTTACATGTTGCAGACAAGATCTGCAAGTTTTCAATAAAATATAGAATATTTATTTTAATAACTATCTAATAATTAATTGGAAGTATGAGCGATTACTTTGAAAATAGTGATTTATTTATTTTCAATCATTATTGTTTTATGTACCACGCTGTAGATAATGAGTTTTCAATTTTTTCCTTAAATATATCTATATTTAAAAATCTAGCAAGATTTGTAAATATGAAATTCAAAAGTATAATTGAATTATTTGAAATAACAATTCATTTATCGATATAATAAAGAAAAACTATATAAAATTAATAACACGCATTACAACTTGTTTTCACCTTATTAGTAGAAATATGTTATATATATATGTCGTTATAGAATAATAAATAAGTCTTTTACTATTCATATTTATTTATTTGATTGACACCTTTACATTTTCCTTGTGAATATCATGAACAGTAACCTACATGCAATTCATAATGAATAAAAACACAGTGCCTGCCACCTAACTCGTATTCCACCCAAGTGCCCTGTATAAAAAGGTCAGGGACCCCTGCGCTAGTGAATAAATAGATTGTTCAAATTGACTCAAAATTTGTGTTTTGATCAAAATTGAAAACTCAACTATTACAACAGTTAGAACAATAAATGGTTTACCCTTTGATAACAGCTATAGGACGTAATTTGATGGCTTTTTTACTAATGCCAGCTGCATGGCAGGTGTCAACAACATCAGTGACATTTTTATAAGATTCTGGCGCCTCCTCCATGACAAGCTTAGGTGAAGCAACCCTGATGGATATGCCCATTTGTTCAAGAGCCCTAAGTACATCAGTGTAGTCTAAATTTCTACGTGATTTGGCCCTTGATAGTGCCCTTCCTACAAACAAGGTAAAGATCGATTAGTTAAAGGGCAAAGAGATTAATTGTAAGAAACATTAAAAAAAAGAAAGTTATATCGTAACACAAGTCTCTGTTCTGATATCGAAAATTAACCTTTAGCTGTAAAAATATTAATAATTACAATATTCCATTGTTATTCGGTTATATCAGCCATAAATTGACATTGACACAGCTGGAGAGAGACCTAACCTGGTCCCATTCATCCTGTATAAAAAGATTAAGTTTAAGAAAAAATAAGGTTTTACCACTCCCAAATCATCATAAACAAAAGCTTTAGAATAATTAGAGAAAAGATAGTCCAGGGTAGCAATTATAAGTAACTAATGTCAAATAATGGAAACTATTTCTTAAGCCTATGTTTTGATCCAACTAACCAGATCTTTATCACAACTAAACAGAACAAGATACAAAACTGTAGAATAATTTAAGAGTTATATGTTGAGATTAATGAGACAAAGACAATATATATACAGATAAAGAATTACCAAATACCAAAAAAAGAATAATTGTGGGTAAATGGTTGACTGTCGTGAATAATGAAGAGAAGGATAGTTGGGGTGATCAGTCAAATAAGAAGGCAAAAATAAATGATAATATTTATTTTGACATTTGCCAAACTTCAGGTCGAAACGTCGGCAAATGTCAAATAAATATTATCATTTATTTTTGCCTTCTTATTTGACTGATCACCCCAACCATTCTTCTCTTCATAAAAAGAATAATTGATCCATTTCATCTTGAAAGTAGTATAAAAAAAATACTATGTAAAGATAGAAAATGAATTCAATAATGAAGTAAATCAACCATTATTTTCATGGTATTTAGTAATTCTTTTTCTGTATTTATTGTTATCTAGTTTAACTTACTCTATAGAAGTTATTTTCTTTAATATGTCCTTACTGATTTCTATTTACTCTGTTAATAGTTTTTTCGATAATATAATGTTATTAATTTTACATTATTCTACAGTTTTGTATCTTGTTCTTTTTTTTTTAGTCCTGCTGAATACCTCCATAGTTGGATTGAAACATAGGTTTAATAAATAGATATTTGAAGTTATTTACTTGTGACTTGCATTCCCAAACATTTTTTCCTTATTATATTCACTGTCAAAACCATAAAATAACCAATATGATAATTCATAATAAATAATTTTTCAAACGGGTGGCAATAATCCTTTTTTTTTTTCATTAAATAATAAATTATTAACAATGCCACACACAAAAGAGAATTTTTTTAATAGATTACTAACAATATAATAACATGAAGTGGATTAATATAAGATTTAGATTACACCCACTGAGCTTTGTCAAAGTTTTAAGGACCTAACCAAATAGGATACTTATCAAAGTTCACTTAAAGGCTAATGCAGATATGGAAAAGATAATATGTTTGAAAATCAATAGTGATAATTTAGTTAATTAAAATTAAGTTGAAATAATATATTGAATTTATTTAAAGTAATAAGATAAGTAGAAAAGCTTTATGTATTTAAGTTCTGCAAGATGAACCAATCAACCGTTGCAAGATAAGGTACTAATGTCATTCCACTTCATGTCATTAAAGCCAACAATGAAGCTGTAAAAGGTGATAATTATGTCAGTCATCCTGTATGGGGCAGAGACTTAGACCACTATGAGATATCTCGCATACAGACTGAGAAGTAGGCTGATCTAGTCTACTTAATGTTAAGTTGACTTTTATAAGGAATGTCAAGACAAAATCAAGAACCATATAAGGCTTGAAAATATAAGAGTAACTTTCAAAGTAGATCTGAATAATAACTTATGTTTCATTCCTGTAATTAATAGTCTCTTAACTCCTTTAGATATTCTTTATTATAGTATTATATATATTATTAGATATCCTTTAAATATTAGAAGCTAAAGAAAACTGGTGTTAACTTTTAACAATCCTTTCCAGCAGACTTCTCTCCCTCTTAACTCTATAAGATCAGATCTAAAACCATCTTTCCCATGAAATTTAATTTGTTGGAGCTAATGGTACTAAGTAATCTACTCACTATCCAGCCTGACCACTTTACATGCTATTACCTAAATTATACTTACTATCCTGTGAAGGTTCACAGGATAGTAACTATAATTAGCAACATGAACTATATTATAAATAAAAATTGGTTTGAATAATTTTACCAACTAAAATTCAACTTGGATTGTACATTACCTGCTCCATGACAAGTTGAGCCAAATGTCTCTTTCATTCCTGTCTCGGTACCAGTGAGGATGTAAGAGCAAGTACCCATAGTACCACCAATCAGGACAGGCTGACCAGTTAGTTGGTAGTCGACCGGGATCAATGGGTGATGAGGAGGAAATGCTCTTGTCGAGCCCTGTTGATGATCATGTTTATGTCAGTTTTTCTAAAGTATTTTTATTGGTAATCAATAAATTATTGACAGAACAATTTATCATAACTGCTAGATAAATAAAGAGAAAAAATGCTAAATAAAAAGAAATAGGGATTTAAGCAATCACAGTACAGAATTAAAACTTCTATTATTTTTTTCTTGGCTCCTGGGGCCTACTGAAATGAATGCCAGGAGTGTGTCCAATATCTCTTTCCTTTTCTCTCCCATAATGTAAAGATTTTACTTATTTTCATATTAACTCTTAGCCCTAATACTTATAGCCCTCCAGCAATGGCTGATTGTATTATTATTCAATAAATAGATTATTAAAGTATTTTCATATTATATTACTATTTGTTCAATGACTAATATTATAATATACAAATTATATATCTTACTAGTAGGCCCATGCGAAAAATTCACACAATATACTGGTTCAGTTCTCATAAAATTGTAAATATGTATATAAATAGTTAGTTTGTTTTAAATAATTTTATTTCATTTTTTTTTAATTGAAGATTGACGGTAAATAATATTCTTTTCTTTCATTTATTCATTATATAAATCAGTTTATTTTGTAATTATTCTCTGAGGCTCCAAAGCTGACATTTCTACCTCTGTATATTATTCTAAAGGGACTTGTCCCAGAATAGATAAAGCATTATTATTATTATATTGTTCAGTGATCAAATGACAAATTAATAAGAAAATAAAATAATGCAATGTATCATAAGATAGAGAAATCAATTGTTACTTTATCGCTAAATATAATCGACAAAGGAAACAAAAATTAATTAAAATCTTCTTTAATGTTTGGAACCAACATATTTACAAAATTCAATAAGCTGTACTTTTGCTAATAATTGTCCGATTTCAAAGGTTGTTTTTTTCCCTTTTGTAGGGAATTTAGTAATCTTTTATATAATCATGGACATAAACAAGGGAGAAGTGTGTAATTTTTTAATTATTGGCAAATTAAGTTTCTTTTCTTTCATAACTTTTTTGCCTGAATTTTTAGTGATTGGACTACTCTTCCCACCTGAAGGAGAAGGGAACATTCAAAATTGGTGGCTCAATATTGTGATTTGATGAAGAATTAACAATGATACGTCTTACGGACAAAACAACACCTTTGATAAACAATTTAAACTCATCCTCTCTCGATCATAGGAACTTCAAATCGACGAAGTGAGACATGTATTCCATGACAGTACTACAATTAACGTAAGGCTGTGTGGATGTGAACCCTTTGCCTTGCATTATCTCGAAAATAGTACATTATGGGGCTTAAGAACGCAGGGCCCGATAGTTGCAAAGAAACTATCCTGATCTAGGTGTACGTATCAAAATGTTCAAAGCCTAATTTGTCCTGTATCGATCTACAGACTTAACAACGTTCCAGTATTGAAGCCTAGCAAATGTTTTTATCTACTTTATTTATTTTAGAAAGAAAAACAAAAGAAGATAGGAGGATTTACTAACCCCCCGTGAAATTCTGAATCCAACGGTACCCCATTCATGATATTTGAGCATGACGACAGCTTCTATTCGGTACAAAGCCAATATCGAGCCTTACTGTAATAATATATGTGGGGATAAAAATATAATACATATTACAAATTTTTGGCATTGTTCAACTAGTTATTGTTAATTAAATTTATGAAAAAATGAAATCAATTATTGCCATGAAAAAGTAAATATTAGAATTAGGAGAAGGATATGGAAACATTTATTAGATCCCACAAGGATACTCTCAATCCTCATACCATTTCTGTAACAAGCACTGGAGCATTATGGCTTTATGTTGCAATTTTCAAATTTTTATATTGGAAAAATGCATACTTTTTTAATAATAAAAAGTATATTTTAGTAATTAATTAAAGAAGATCGCCCTGCGATCTTCTTATGTAGACACATTATTAGAGTGCTAGGAGTTGTTTCTCAACAAGCATTTTTATGACATATTCCTGTGTAGACATTTACTAGATCTATTTATATTCTAATACAAGTAAATATCATGAATCAACAAATAAAATGTTTGTAATGATGTCTTGTAATTATTTTTGCTGAAAACAATGGTACTTTAAGGGGACAGAATTTCACATTATACATTTTTGTTACAAACCTGACAACAAATCTCATCTTATAGTGAAACAAACTCTAGCTTAATCAATATGGACTTAAAGTTAATTAAAAAAGGAAGTTTTTCCAAAAGCGAGTGTCTAAAGTCCAATAGGAGGCTGATAAAAACCCAAATGATCCATGATTTTATGAAAACCAATAGTTAAACTGCTTAAAACCCCCTTCAAAATTTTAACCACCTGTCATGGTTAAGACCATTAAATACAAGTTAAATTTGCATTTGAAGGAAATTTTTACTAGTTTACTGTGAAGAAATTGGTAATTACCCATATCTAATATTTTTTAAATTGTCTTTATATTCAACAAAAAATATGGCTTACTCAAAATCACAAAACTTAAATTTCTCGCTTTTCTATTTGGAAATAGTTTATATGAACTTTTTGTAGCTCTTGATTTATAGTATCAACTGTTTAAATATTTTCTGTTAGTTATGGGACACTCAACATAATGGATCAATAATCAGAACCACCATACAAACAAATAATAAAATAATGATGTAGCGATGGTTGACTGTTGACATATGAGACCGTTGATATAATATGACGAAACGTTGCCAAAAAATAAAAATAATTACTATATTTTAATTTAGTATTTATTTGACCGCACCCCCGACTAACTCCTTCTCAAATAATAAAATACTTTATATTTATCAAGATGTTAGTCTCCATTGGATTTGATAGCAGACAAATCCAATTAAGAGTCATTAGGATCATACACACCTTTCTGTGTATCAGAAGAGTTTTCTGCTTTCCATCTACAACATGTTCTTCAATTTTTGCTATGTTGTGTGAAACATCATAAATGACATGCATATCTAGATCATCTGGAGCCATGTTGAACTGTTTGGCAAATGCCTGTAAAAAAAGTTATCAAAATTTGTCAAGTTTATATAAACCATGAAGACCTCACCAAATTAACAAAGTCCTCATTCGACAAGAAAATACCTGCCGTGAAAGAAATGTCATCGATGATCTGTTAACCCAGGCAAAGTTAGCTGCTGCAGACATTCCCTTAAGATAGTCTTGACCCTCAGGTGAGTGAATACGAGCACAAGCCAACTGCCTATCATTTGTCTCTATGTTATCCCTCTTCATTGCTTTCTCCATAGCAACCAAAGCATCTGACAACAAAATAATAATATACTAACTAATACAAACATATAAATAATAATAATCTTCAAGGAAAAATAGTGGAATATTAATAAAATGAGATGTAAGAGGTCAGGGTTAACTGAAAATTGTCTCCAGGATACACTATTTTTACGATAATTCAGATCTTAGAGTTCCTCTAATATCACCTTGCGATCATTTGATATTTATTTATATTTGGTATACTATTATATTTATAGTATTTATGCTGTCCAAATACTTGAGGAATAAAAGTATCAGCACCACAAACATTTTCCAACTATTTGGAAGTATATTTGAATATGTTCAGATATTTACATATATGTAGCAAAAACAATATTTCCATTAAAATGTCTTTTTATTAATACTGCTGATCTCATAGTCATAATCATGCAAAATATGCTAACAAATAAATATAATAACATCGAAGTCTCACCGGTAGCTACTTGATGACCGAATCCCCTTGAGCCAGAATGAATCATCACACATATCTGACCTTTACTCTCTATCCCCATCTTGCTTGCAGCCCACTTGTCATATATCTCATCAACAACTTGTATCTCAGCATAATGGTTACCAGCGCCTAGGGTTCCAAGCTGGAAAAAGCAAATGTATATATAGTCATAACACTAATAAATATATATTTAGTCATAGTTGCTAATAAGTTCCAATCATCTCCTTAAAACTGTTCCCAATATCCCAATACCTAATCCTATATCTAAACGATAATCCCATCAAATTTTATCCTATTAAAAACCTTGAATATCTTTGATCAAACTCTTTCCTGGAAAACTATGGTTATATATGCCCAATATCTCCCACAGTGTCTTTTCCATCTTAAAGCGACTAAATTATCTCTGTCACCTATTTCCATTTGAAACACAAAAGCTTCTGGTTACTTCCTTAATATTCCCCCACTTAGATTACTATTGTGCAACATATGGTGGTATACCTGGGGATCTCAAGGAAAAACTAAAACGGTTGATAACTTTTCATCTTTGGGACCCCAGGGGATGCCTCTGTCTCCCGTTTTATGAAGAATTGAAGTGGCTTTATCCTTCCAACCATCGTAAGTATTTTTTGGGATCCTTTCTCTACAAAGTTATTCAATCCTGCCGTCCATCATATATCTCCGAACTCTTTCAATTCAAATCCTCTATACATTCCCGCAATACCCGCTCTAGGTTCTTAGATCTATATACTATGATCCACCAATCTGAGGCATTCGACAGATCTTTCTTTATCCGATCCTCATCTCTATGGAATTCCACCTCCTCCCACATCCATAATTCCAATAACCTTCCCACCTTTAAATCCCACCTATACAATAACTTCCTATTAATTCAATTCCCAAACAATTGTAAATAGCTTTTTCTGTAAGTATGTGTACATAAAGTATTAGCTTGTATTAAATATATTTTTTATTCTTATTTCATCAATGTTAGAAATGACTTATATATATATTTAATTTCTATTTGTTTATTATATTTTATTTCTATTAAACTCTGAGGCTCTAAAGCCCACAATAGTATAATTTTGAGTTATTCTAAAGGGACTTTTCTCCCAGAATAAATAAAGTATATTATTATTACTTTACTAGAATCAGTAGCAAAAAGAAAACAATTAAGAGGGATGAGTTTTAATAGCACTGACAGATCTATTGGATCCATTCCCTTACCTGAGGTAAACCTCTCTTCTTGGCTCTCATGCTAACTTTGTTTGGATCAGCATTCAACATTCGACCATATTCCTCACAATGTTCCTTGTCTTCTGACCAGACATATCCTATAATAAAAATTTTATATTAGTTTCATGATGAGCCGATACCACCAATCGCTGGCTACATTCTTCCATCCAGTGGATAGAATTCCAAACCCAAATTAGTCTTGGCACAATCCTCTCACATTCACTTTGGTCTACCCCTCGGATGCTTGCAACAAGAAAAAAAATAGAAATTAGAAAGAAGATGACCTTTTTGTAATTATTGAATTGAAAACAGAGACTTTTTCAATACTTCCACTGGAATAATACTAAAAAAAATTTGCTACTTTATGGGAGGAGGAAGATATGGATGTGAGACATATATCACTATGTTTCCTAATGGCATGGGAAAGATAAGAAAAACATGGTACAAACTATTTTCATTAGTAAAATGAATTTTCGTAATCAAGAATATTAAAAAAAAAAAAATTAGTGACGAAAATAATAATAATTAAATTGTAAAAACAAAACCTTCAAATTGGATATTTGACATTGTGATACAGAGATGGCCATTTTTCTTGCACATTGCTTGAACCACAATCACGGAATCTTCTTCCTTTTTTTTCCAATTCTATACAAGAGATAGTAAATTTTATTGTACTTCAACAACAAAAATCTTCATATAACAAATGAAAATCTCTTTTAAAAAGTTAAACTATACACAATAGGGGATTTTTTAAGTATTCTGTATTATCTCAAACATGTTTGGGATATCATATTTTTCAATTCTAATTTCATTGCTATTTATAAAGATCCATTATAGACTAGACTACTAGGTCATTCAACTTGGCAATCTTTGTAAGGAAGAGCATGGCATTTGTCACACTCAAAATGTGGTTGGATTAGACCACTGAAAATATGTTCATTTCATTACAAACCGCTTATACATTCATGTTAACTGTCTAAATTAGTTTATTCGTTCATAAGACTGAACCAATATAATAATCAAAACTGAATATTTAGACTAATCCAACAAACATTGTAACTATGGGCAATAAATAAAAGATAGAATTCCTCCCAGGTGTTAGCCCAACAGATAGAGGGAACGGAAGAATGGGTTGTTCTAGAGGTACCACCAAACCTATTCTAACCAAAGTGAGAAGGTCGAGATTCATTCCGTCGTCTGAAAAAAAATTAATTTCAACCAGGCCAGGGATGGTTTTGGTGATAAACGGATTAAATTATATATCAAAACATATTTAAAGGTAAACAAGATATATTAATGAGGTACTAACCTTCCCTAAGTGACCAATCCATACCCATCTCTAGGGCTTCTTCCATGTCTCTTGCAGTCATTGGGATAATACCCTTTGAACCTACACCGACTGGGATATGATCAAAAAGACTTTGTGCCAATTGCTCCTACCATACAAAATATTACATATATGAATAGAAATGCTTTATTATTTGATAAATAAAAGAAATAATTGTTACTATTTTTAAAAAATAAACCTTCACAGGTAAGACATCTTTCTCCATTAGATTTGTTCTTAAGACACGAACTCCACAATTTATGTCAAAACCTACTCCACCTGGTGATATGATTGATTTTGGATCATTTAAATCGAATGCAGCCATATTACCTGTAAATAAAATAAAATAACATGAATAGCAAAGTAGCTGAGACATGATAGATTAAAAACATTTAACAAAATATAAACAATTTTATTGAATTGAGTATTTAATACTTGAACGTTGCATTATAAAGGAAGGAGATGGTCAGGTGGCGGTCATAAATAGGCTGAATAGTGGCAAAACTATTTTATTAAAAGCCTATTATATTTTATTTTAATATTTTATAAAAAGCCTTAATAAAATAGTTTTGCCACTATTCAGCCTATTTATGACCGCCACACCGGACCATCTCCTTCCGTTATAATGCAACGGTCAAATATTAAATATTCAATAAAAAATATTAGTTTTGACATTACAACTGGAAGATAAAGTTTTGGCATTTCCAAAAAAAATTTCAATGATAATTAGGGTTCACTTTGGAAATAGACAACTCAATTTAAATAATCTCATGCATTGAAAAATTTATGTTATTAAAAATTTGATTCAGTACTATACAGAAACTACAGTGCTATTTATCAAAGCCTACTCTATATAAAATTAACTTTTGAGAATGTAACAATCATTTAGATAATACTCTGCAAGTGTTGCTCCACTTGACAAGTGAGCCAGGAACTCCTGAACACGCAATAAATGGGAGTCCGAGGACTGACAATGTGTTAACCTCCCTTTACTCCTTCCACAAACTCCTAACTGGTCCTCATCAGTTAAAATTGGAGTCTTAAGTAGCATTAATTGTATTGCCACTTTTGACTTCTACTCACTCAAAAGGGATATCCAAACCCTAAATAGATTCTTATCAGATGAGATAGGAGCCTTACTAGAGGTTCGATCACTTATATCTGCTTTGGAACACATTCAACCCATACTCTTAGGGGCGGGGTGGCCGAATAGGCTAAAGCGTGTGCACAGCACCGCTAGTTGCCTGGCAACCGGATAACAGAGATTTGAGATGATATAAAAAGTACGAGTTCGCGTCCTGGTGGCGGAGGGGATTTTAAAAAAATTCCCCGCCCTCACCCCCCGGCCCGGGAAAATCCCGTATAGCCTAAAAAAGACGAGGTAGGGAAGAACATACAAAAAAAAAAAAAAAAAAAAAAATCAACCATTCTCAGGATTCCCATTATAGTTTCAACATGAGATCTGATGCCATCCATCAAAGTGGAGTAACACTTGTACAGTAGCACCATTATTTAAGTCTAGGATACCAACACATAAATTTAATAATCCAAGAATACTTATACAATATAGAAATTGCAAGATCAAGATAAATTTCCATACCAATCGCAAATCCATAACCTGAATGAACATCAGGAAGTCCAACGGACTTTCCTACAATGCCAGGCAGAGCTGCAACATTAGCTATCTGTTTAACACCAGGCAAAAATCCACCTATCATGCCAGGGCGACATGCATTTCTTAATTCATCAAACATTAATTTTTCTAAGTGACTATTTACAAAAAATATTCCTTCCACCTAGAAAAAAAAAATTTTAAAATGATTACAATATGTAACCACTCCAAATAAGTTTTAACATTTTTATTGAAATGATAAATGAAATTATGTTATTCTTCTTAGACCAGGAATGAAGCATCATATTTCTTAATTTATAAAAATATTTGTATAATTATCCTATTATCTTATAATAAATACACATATAAACTGGTTTACATCATAACCATCAATTGGATCTTAAAGGTTTGTACCATAAGAATTATTAGACACCAGATGACAACATTCAATGTATAGCAGTGTGGGTTTTATTTGGCACTGAGTCAGTTAATATTTCTTTATTTATGTTTTTGGTATTGATTTTATAATGAAAAATCATCCACTTCAATGAAAAATATAACCATTATTAAGAAAAATATTTTGTGAAAAAGTCTAATAAATCAATTTTTTTGCTAGCAGATACATAGTTGTACACAGTATGTTTACTTCAATCAAGCAACATAATTATAATAGTGATAGGTTCACTTCTATTACGCTTATTGTCAATATCTAAAATCATTCTGTAAAGCACACAAAATAAAATAATAGTTACAAAAGTTTAGAACTAAAATAACATTTATACATTCATGTTAGGCTGGAATCCCTTCTTGATCCTCCAAGATACTGGAGAGATCTTTTCCAAATACTGTAACTCCTCATTATAAGAGCGAACAACCATGATGAGTCGTAAATATTCAGTCTTATTATCACTAAAATATTGACAAATCAAAGACCAAAACTAGTTTAATGATAACCTATCACACCGGCTAATTGAAACCTCCCACCACATAGAGCTAAAAAAGAGCTTGGCCAATAACATATTGAACAAGAGTCTCATTTAACTAGTGTAGTTCTATAAAAAAATGAAGAACCAATGCATGAAGTGTTCATATTAATTTTAAAATACAAAACTTAATAGATAACGTTTTCATTTGGATCGGATCTCAATTTTATACAAACAAATCGGAACGTTAATAAATTTAGACGTAAAGAAAATTTATATTTCCATTGGTAGGTTTTTACTTCCAGTTTCAATTCCCCTTGATTTACTCTAATCGTATTAATAATTGTTTTTTATCAATGCATTATTCGTTAAAGTTTTGCCGTAGGTCGCTACAAAAGTTCCCCTACCACCTGCCAAGCGATTTATCACGGAAAATGTTTAAATGTAGAAATAAAAGACATTGAATCCCTGGAAATAGAAATGACTTGGAAATGTCCTAATTGTGAAAAGTCCCAAAAAATAGTTCGCCTACTGAAAGAGGCACGAGCTCGCAGCATACCACTGGGGATGCTGCATTGCAGTTGCTGCTCTCTGCAATCCAAGAGGTTAAGAGTCTGAGAAGTTCCGTTGAAGCTAATGCCTCCGACCTGAAAGATTTAAAATCATCATTGGAAACCTAGGCATCAATCACTTTCGAAAACTCGGAGCAATTAAAAACCATAGAGTCGCTTCTGGAAGCTCAAAACTCGAAAATAGATGGCTTGGTTTTGGAGAATTCGACTCTAAAAACACGAGTATTGGAGCTCGGAATAAAGCTAAACAGAACCGAGCAACAGCACCTGGTAAAACCACAGAGATTGGAGGAATAATGGTGAGACCTGGCGAAACTCCAATGGACCTGGTAGTGAGTGTGGGCGCAGCGCTGGGGCTAAGCCTAAAGGTTACCGGCAAGATAACACTCCCGGACCACTATTGGTCAGATTTATGCGACAAACGATAAGAGATGAGCTGATTTATAAACGTAAAGTCGTGAGATTTATCTACTCGTCACATGGGCTGGCAGGAGAACGATGTTCACAAAATTTTCATTGGAGAAGTATGACCTTGACTAACAGGCAGCAGTACTGGCTAGCCAGACAGAGGAAAGCGGCTGAAAAATAAAATATGTTTGGTTTGGTGATGGCAAAGTGAGGTACACCTACAGGTGAACCGACGGTCAGCCCGTAGTTGTAAATTCACCTTCTGACCTTGACGTCTTCGCTTGACTTCTCTGATCTCATTCCTCTAACCCACCACCAGTTTCTTCTCTTTACTTAACTTCTATGACTTTAATAGTTCTTTCAATTTTATTTATGTGTATGTTGCAGCCAGTTTTATTACTATTTTTATTAGTATTATTGCTCGTTTTTCGCCAGAATATTAGTTTGTTTTCTATTTATATGGATCTACGGTTTCTTTGTTTCTTATCTCTATTGATTATAGTATACTATCTGGATTATTTCTTCTACCTATTTTTTCTAGTTTCTACTTTTCAATAATTTTGCTATCAATGCTTCAGAATCTAGGAAGTATATCGGATCAAGCCAACCTAATTATTTGCTTATCTTTCGCACCTCACACCGATTCACTGTCCCAATCTGCCATCTCTTATGACTAATGTCTTATTATCCTGCCATGTCAACGCACAGTCACTTTTACCTCACATAGATGAATTCCACGATTTCTTCCACCCACAACTTCGACCACCTAATCGCTGTCTCTGAAACTTAGCTAAATCCAACGATCAAATCCTCTCAAGTTTCACTCCCTAACTATACCCTACTACGCACGATAGAGAAAATAGAATTGGAGGCGGAGTAGCCATTTTTGTTCATGATAGCCTGAAATCCAAAATCCTTGCTTTGTCTCCTCTTTCCGTCTCTCCACATACCGAATATCTTTCTGCTGAAATATCCATCTCCTCATATTTATTGCTCATTGGTGTCCTCTACCGTCCTCCTAAAATGCCCTTTGATGAAACACTCCAGGCCATCCTCTACGAAATGAGCCCTTCCTACTCTTCTAATATTGTTCTTTCTGGAGATCTCAATACCAATCAAAATCTGTAATCCCACAACCCCTAATGATTTCCGTCCAATTTCCCTGTTATCTAACCTTTCCAAAGCTTTAGAATGAATAATATAATCCCAACTATCCCAATATCTGGAACAAAATAACCATTTGAACTGCTTCCAGTCTGGATTTAGACCTGACTACTCCACTCATTCCGCCCTCATTAAAACCATTTCAGCACCTCCTAATCTTCTTCTGAACAACTCATCTATCTCCTTCCATACCACCATTAAAAACCTTGGTGTTATCCTCGACCAAACCCTCTCCTGGAAACCACACATCCCCCAAATTTCCCGCCATACTATATCCACCCTGAAACAGTTTAACCATCTATGTTATCTTCTTCCGTTCAAAACCTGTCAACTCTCTGGTCTAGTCTCTTGTTTTCCCCCACTTCGACTATGGCTGTATAGCGTATGGTGGACTCTCGGGAGAACTTAAACATCTAATGAATTGCTCAATCCGCTTTGTCTTCGGGATCGCAAAGGATATGCATATTACCCAGTTTTACACCGAGTTGAAGTGGCTTTACCTGTCCTACCACCGTCAATATTTCCTTGCTACCTTCCTATAAATATGGGAACCCAGATGTGTTAGGTTCTTGAAAATGGCACCACTGATTCCCATAAAAAATCTTGGAATAACCTTTTATCAAATGCTTCCCTTTCAAAACCATGTACTTTTTCCACCTTTAAACATCTAAATTACTTCCATCACCTATTTCTCCTTGAAACTCCTATGGTCCTAGTCACTTAATATATCCCTACTTTGACTGTAGGGTATAAGGGGGGTTCTCTGGGTATCTCGAGGCGAAAGTAAAACGTTTGGTAATTTTCTTATGATTCATCTTCAGGACCCCAAGGGACGCCACTGTTTCTCGTTTTTATGTAGAGTTGAAGTGCCTTTATTCGTCCTACCATTGTATTCCCTATCCTTTCTCTTTCAAGTCATCCAATCCCGCCATCCTTCATATAAATCTCCTCAAGGAATCTCCGAGCTCCTTCAATTCAAATCCTCTGTTCCTTCCCACCATACTGGTTCCTGGTCCTCAGATTTATACACAAGAGCCCACAGAACCGCTGCTGTCGACAGATCATTCATCAGATCCTCACCCCTATGGAACTCCATCCCTTCCTACATCTGTCAATCCAATACCCTCTCTACCTGTTCAATAATTTCTTATCTATCCAGTCTCCATAAATACCTGTTTTGTTGTATTAGATATTACTGTAAATACGCATATAAATTATGCAAACGTTCTTAATCATTTTTACTTCATGTTTTCAATTTTGTATTTCTTATTATTAACTGATTAAAGTTAGAAAGTAGCTTATAATTTTTTTTTCTATTATGACTATTTAATTACTTTGAATTTTTGTTTATGTATCTCTGAGGCTCCTTAGCCCAAATTTCAGTCATTCTGTATTATTCTAAAGGGACTCGTTCCAGAATAAATATATTATAATTAAAAAGCATTTCTGCCACCCAGTGATACATTATTGTTAAATCAGTTAATCTTTACATCACTAAAAAATTTATAATTTTAAATTAATTCATTCATAAATTTTGTTTAGAATCAGAATATTTAAATGGCTTAATCAGAAAATGGGCCCATGAATTTTAATGACTCAGTTTAGTTTTTTTGAAACAAAGCAATTTTTTGCTACAAAGACCTAAAGACTATTAAAAATAAAATTACTGAACATTAAATGATCCCCAGCTGATTATAGTTGAAGTGAGATTGTTATCTCGACATTTTTACTTAGTTATTTTATCCTACACTATTTATTTTATTTAAATGTTTTCAATGGCACATTTATTTTAGTTTTAAATTGCAATGAATTTATACTCCTGAAAAACAATTTTCCATAAGAAGATATAAATACACTAAGCACAATTTGATGAATAATAAACAATATCTACAATGATGGTGTTCATCAACTTAGGCAGTTTTTTTTTGTTGAAAACATTGGTAAAACAAATCTTGATGGTCAGTTGTGTATAAAATAAATAAAAATCTTTCACTCCATTTAAATAGATTTGGAAGACAACCTACAGACTTATTCAAATATGAACAACGTTTTAAATATATATAAGACAATTAGAGAATTAATGACCAACAAAACATGAAAATTACAAAATTATTATTTGTATTAATTATTTTATTAACTATGAACTAAAAAAATAAACTATTTCTTAATGAAAAGAAAAAGGTTGCAAACAGGATTTGAATTTATAAATGAAGAAAGCTGTTGCTGATCCAATAGTCTCATATTAAAACTTTATTCTTCGAGACTGCCTTTTTTGAAGTCTCTTAAAACAGAAATAAAATCAAAATTATGAACTATCAGTAGGTAAATATATTATTAAGTAATATATTTATTATTGATTTACTCTCTTAAATCTATTTTTTTTTAAAAATAATAAATTAAAAAACAACAACAAACAAAATTTTATTTGTCAGACTGGACAGGTTTATCATAAATAAATTTGTTTTCAAATCTACATATGGGTACCATGTTCAGTTCCACTTTAATACTGATGTTTAATATGTGTAAGGGAAAACTAAGCATTTGAATGAAACTTTGTAATATTTTACAATACAATGCTGAGAACTTCAGAACAAGATAAAAATACAATATTCCTCAAGATGTAATCTCTACTAAATAAATTAAAATATCACATTTCATCAATTATGGGAAAAAGAAAAATATTAAGCATGACTATTTCTTGTTTTAAATTCTGCATGTTGAGAATTGGAATAAGTATACGGCAGCTGATTGTCAAACAAATATAACATAAGGAAATGAAAAATACATACTAGTGAGGAACAATATTATTCCTCCCATTTATGTATCTTTACCAAGAACACATTTACTAATTAATTCAATTTATCTCAATATCACATAAAAATACACCTAATTATAATGTTGAACCTTAAATTACTTTACAAATCAGACAATAGTTTTGTTATACAACTATAATAAAACTGAAATCATTAGAGGATCAACTTAAAAATAAAAAATGGTAGTTGCTACAATTAAAATAACTTCACTATCCTTATTTACACTTTACAATAAAATACAGTAAGAGGGCACATATATGGTACATCTAAACTTCTTCAAGCTGCGCATCATGGGATATAGCATGCCTGAAGAACCTAGTCTCAGTACGAAACCTCATACCACAAATGATACATAGGAATGGCCTATCCTCTGGGTGCTCCGCCGCAGTATGGGAACACAGCTCACTTTTCTTAGCAAATCCCATTCCGCATAGACTACAAAGGTGAGGTTGCCCAAGGGAGTGGCCTACAATGTTAAATTATAAACTTAATTAAAAATTTTTTCTATATACATGAATTTATAGAAGATATATAGTTAAATATAATAAAAAATAAATGGAAATTTATTTTTATTTCAATAATTTAAAATAATAAATTATTTATTAGTTATTCATTGAAAATAATAAACTGGGCAATCTTTTATTTTATTCACTATATAATAAAAAAATGTTTATTGAGTAAAAATCTGGTGTGATGCATCAAATAACTTTCATTTACCATCCTAAATTTAGTTGTTTGTTAAGGTAATGAATATGTTACCTTAGTAAAAAATATGCTACTTTAACTCATCACTCATATATAATACATCATCATAAACTACAAACTAAAGACAATATAAGTTATAAAAATTCTGTACAGTATAAGTTTTGGGTTTTATAAGGCTAAATGTCTCCTTTCTGAAATAAGCAGAAGTTCAAAGAATCTGATGGTCACTAGCCTTTAGCCAGTCTTATAAAGATCGAACCATCCATAGCAATATGGATATACTAGTATACACTGAAGGTAGATGAGTGGTGATTACAACTCCGAATGAGCCTACCCTTAAAAAGTATTTTCCCAATGTCAGGTCATGATTAGACAAAGGCTGGGTCCTAATGGACTGAATCTCTTAGCTCCTCATGGGGCTAAGAGCTTTTCAAATCAATTTGTTAGTTAAGCTTTATTAATCAGTTTATGTACACAATGGTATCCTGCACACCATTTAAGGTAAGATTATTAAATATAATATCATAGTGGAAAGGTGAGCTCTCAGATTGAATTGAAATTGTTTTTTCTAGATAGAATGGATTTCAAGTGAAAAAAATCAATAATTTGGAATTTTTTCACACCTATTAACGATGTGGAATCAAGTTGTAATATTTATAAACAAGATATCAGATATAAACCATCCATAACAAATATGATGACTCATATAAAAAGAAAACATTCCACAATTAAAATAGTTGCCGAACCAAGACAAATGAAACAATTGAAACAAACTCCTACCACTTCTGTCGGCCATACTGACGTGACGCTAAATTTGGAAGCAGGTACAGAACCTACAACTTAAGAAGTACCATCTTCTTCTACAATCAAAATGGAACTCAAGAAAATCCAACAATTATTAAATATACCGAGGAAAATAGGATTCTGTTAAAAAAAAAAAAAGGTAACAGCCTATTAAAACTAACAACCAAAGATTATCAACTACTATCAATAGTAGAAGCTGAAGAGTTTAGAGAATATAGTAATGAAATGAACCCATCATACCAATTCCTGGCCGGAAAACGCTCGCAAGGGTATTATTACCAGCTAAATATGTAGAAGTTTTAGAACAATTAAAAAATGACATACAGGACACTGTTTCAGATACAGCTCATTCATAGATTCAAATTTTGTCGTGAAATCTTTGCTGTTAGAAACTAGTGATTAAAGGAGAGCCACATGAGCAAAAATATAGCATCCGAGTTAAAAAGAGTGGTGACTGAATGGAGGATTGAAGATAAAATCTTACTAGCCGTAATAGATCAATGCTGTCAACATGAAAAAAGCTATTACGTCAGAGCTCTAATGATGCCACTTCGGCTGTATAGCCTACACCGTTAATTTGATAGTGAAAGAAGCCCTAAAACCTCATGTAACTTTTTTTTTTTATATTAATACATTCTGCCACATTGAAGGACATTAAATATTAAGGCTACATTAATCATTCACACCAAATGTACATACAAATAATAATTAAAATAGAGATAATAAAGAAAAAGATATATAGAAAAATAAAATAAGTAAATTAATATGCCTATGTACAAAAAATAAAATAATAGATAAAAGTTAAATGAAAGAAATTGAAGTAAATAAAATACATTCACACCTATATACAATATTTACATTTGCTAAAGCGACTCTGAGTTATGCTTTGTTCCCCAAATGTGGAAGGCAAGGAAGGGGTCCAGGAGGTCCCAGTGCTTCTCTCCCAGCCGTGTCACTGGTATTGGAAACCAGTGGAAACTGATGGAGGGCACTACAGCAACAGACGCTCAAGGACCTGAATAGAGAATCTGGACATTGCCAGAACTCCAATATATAATATTTACAGGTCGCAGGGCGGGCAGACTGCCGTTTGACCTCTGGGGAGGGTGGTAGGGATGGCTCGAGCCAGATAGGGATTATGCTACGGGATTTGGATGATGAGTGAGAATCTGGTGAAATTTGGAAAATTTGTTTGGGATTAAGTCAAGAACAAATGGGATATGAATATCATTATGGAGGGTTTTATTGGATACATAGAAGGCAGCATCTCCTATTGATCGGAGGACTTTAGACTGGAAGGATTGAATGCATTTGCTGTCCCCCACAGTTCTATTCTGTAGGTCCAGATAGGTTTCAGGATTGTCTTGTAGATTAGTAGTTTGTTTTCGACTGAAAGTTGAGATTTTCCATTCAATAGTCTAGAAAGCTGTTGTCCGTATTGTCTATTAAGTTGTCTTTTAAGTCTGGTATGTGGGTTCCATGTTAGTTTTTTATCAGGCAGTATGCACTTATAGCTGACCTTTAGGCCCAGGTGCACTGACCGATGTTAACTTTAGTTTTACTAATTTTGATTAGTTAAACAGAATTTTCGTTGGACCAAAGTTGATTACCCTTAACGCATTAAGTTACCATAACTAGCTAATCTAATGTTAGACCTTGATCAAATCTTTAAATGATGTTAAAGTCTAAACTTACATACGGTTACTTCGGATAGTTGTAATGATGCATTAGATGGTACTTAATGCAAATATTTGTGAAATAAATCCTTTAATCTATTTTTAATATCAGAATTGAGAACCTGTTCAAAATATTACATCACTAAGTTCTTTCAGTTCCTCAAGCAGCCAAAAAAAAATATTCACAAGCCTATAACTTTCCACATGTATAGGCGGGTTATTTGTGGCTCCAGTGAAATTGACAAACTTTTTTCAGTGATACTTTCAATATGTTTGACTATGCATTGTAAAGCAGATATGACTGTTCAAGTAACAGATCACAACAATGACATTGAAATTAAATTGAAAATTGTATTGTTTTATGTAGTGTTATACTTAATCAATAAGGATAGTGCCAAACTTAAAATAATGTAAGGATTAGGATAATAATTAGGACAGCAACTTACCTTGCACATGAATGATAAAATTGGCCCTGTGACGAATCTTTCTACCACAGAGTTGACATTCAAAAGGCTTCTCTCCCGAGTGTATAAACATGTGCTCCTTAAGTGTGGCCTTTGTTGAAAGTACACGGCCACAAACGTCACAAGATAGGCCAGGTTTGCTCCTAGCTCTCATGTGGGAATTAAGATGGGCCCAGCAGGCTTGTTTTGATCGGAATTGTTGCCCACACTCTCGACAAGTGTACTCTCTCATCAACACTTTATGCTTTCTTACGTGCCTGTCCAGTTCTTCTGCATCACTGAAGCAGACTCCACACATCTTGCACCTGAAAATAAGATTTTAAATTTTATAGACTAACTTAATTCATACATCTATACAATAATTTCCTAATGTAAAATAAGTTTATTCTGGTAAATAAATTGAGACATGCGAGCTTAACATACCTATGGTTCGGATGTATTGTATGACTATTAATATGCATCACCAGACTAGCTTTATGACGAAATGGCTTATCACAGAGCATACAAACATACTGTTTGTCATTGGAATGGGACAGCATATGCTCATTCAGAGATACTTTCGTCGATAGGACCTTATTACAAACTTTACAGATTGCTTCCTTGTCAAAAGGATGGCCTCTACGTCTGTACTCAAAATGACTTAAGTTGTGAGCATTAAGTTGTCGTGATGTTCTGAATTGCTTTCCGCAAGGTGCACATTCAAACTTATCCTCTTCATGGCCTTCACAATCCTCTTCCCCTGAAATACCAAGAGGCAAATTATCAATACAAGTGATTGATCTTGAGGTAGTTTATTTATTTATACCATTAAACTACTGAAAAATTAAATTAATATCATTAACAACTAATTTTACAAGGAGACAACAGTATTTTTAAACAAAAATCATATCTGCGAAGCTGAAATATTTGAGAGCAACAGAAATCCATCCATACATGTAAAAAATAAATAAATCCTTTAGCAAATAGGAATCAGAGAATTATTTAGTTGTTTATCTAATCTAATAATACTAAATCCATCAGTTTAAAAAAAAGGAAAAGAACATATTTGGTTCCTTATTTTATCTAAATTCAAACTGTCATAAAGTAAAAGTAATTAAATCAATAAAATGTTCACTTCATTTAAGAGACTATCAGACTTTGTATGAGCTGCAAGAGGGGACCCAAAAATAATGGGAATTGGGCTGCAGTGTGGAGGAACCCATTGTTCGACCCGGTCTCTGTTAGGGACACATCTCCTGAGATAATGAATGAAGTTATGTCACTGTGAGTGCATCAGTTCGTCTGTGAGAATTTTTTTAGTGAAACAACTTTTTCCATTTCGTCGAACACATGATGGCTACTTATCAAGAGCAGCATGTGGCTGTGAAATTTTTTTTTCCTATTGGGGAAATCGGCTGCAGAAACCATTGTAATGCCTAAAACTGCTTACCGGGATGTTGCCCTAAGTAAAACCAGAGTCTACGAGTGGTTTTCACATTTTTAAAATGGAGAAATGTCAACTGAAGACCAACCCCAAGCAGGACATCCCTCAACATCAAGTGATGAAAACGTCAACAAAATCAATACTCTTTTTCATGAATGCCGCCGCCGAACTATCAATCAATTTTGTGAGATGTCCGGAATATCATGGATTTCAATCCAGAGGACTTTATCCAAAGATTTGCAGCCAAATTTGTCCCTTGCTTTCAGGCAAGCTTTGAGCTTCAAAATCAGTTCAAAGAGGACTCTTTGAACTGATTTTTTTTCTGGGTCAAACTGTCAACTAGAAGTTCTACTTCAAAAGAATTTTGAAAAGATTGCGGCAGAGAATCCGGAAGAAAAGGGCAGATCTTTGGAGCACACGTGACTGATTCTTCCATCATGACAACCCAGTGCCCTCTCTATAAAGCAGTTTTTGACCAAAAACGGTATGACACTGATTGTTCACTGCACCCCCCCCCCTTACTCATCGGATCTGGCCTCCTGTGATTTCATTTTGTTCCCCAGAATAATAAAATGGAAAAATTAACCTACAGGACAAAATTCATGAATTTGTAAGGGTCAATTTTAATCTGATTAACTTAATTAAACAAAGTTGTACACTATTGTACTCAACACTTCATAAATTATTTTAGAGTAAAATATGAATTAGTGAATTTATATAAAAGTTGTGTGTCCATGTGCTAGATCTTTTTAAGACAAACCTACGACCACAGAAAATTAATTTTCTTTTTCAATATTAAATTTCCAATCAATCAATTGATTAAGCTTTCCATTTTCAAATAACCTTATACATACACACACAATGTTTTGTATCAGTTGGTATATTACTATAATACATAACAAATTGTTTTATATTACCGCAAATATTGCACAAAAGAGAATCCCATAAACTTTCTTCATTCTCAAAACCCAATTTATCATTTCCATTATCAAGCATTTGTTCCTACAACAAAAAATTATAAATTAATTAATTATACAAGATCTATTACTGAGCAATCTTTTTTGAAGTATCAGTACACTTTGGGAACTAAGTTTGTCAAAAGAATAACAATCAATTTTCTGTTTAGAAATAATTTCATCGGTTAAAAAAAATGAAATAGCTAAATATTAACCATTAGAAATAAATAAAACAATCTACAGAACAATACCTGTTAATGATTCATTTAGGAGCAATAAAATAATTATGTTATCAAAAATTATAATTAGCAACACATAAAATGTAATAAAATTACAACAAATTTACAATAGCCTATTATATGATGACATAACAAAAATCAAACACGGTTCTAAGATACCTGATTTGAACTTGCAAAGATACCACATGGGGTTTGGGTTCGATGTACAATGTTGTTTTTAGAATAAGAGTTTCTAGTTTATTATGACGTTTTTTTTTCTACTTCCATAAGTATTTCATTTCAGGCCAAACCAAATAATAATTAGAGCATTCCTAAAAATTTCTGTAAGAGAAGATAGGGGTTAGAGATTCTGTTTTAAAACAGTCCCAGAAAATGTTTTCCTTTTGTTGAACATCCATGAGTTATGCAGAAATTAAATCTCAGCGAAGGTATAGCCTCGGGGGTACATATATACCTGCTAACCTAACTTGAAATAAATTAAAATATTAAATAAAAGTTTATTTTATTTAAACAAGTAAAAAGTAGGTTAAATGATCTTCTAAAATTCACTTGGCATTAAAATTGACTTACTTTGCCTGGGGTGACGTGATAGTTGGGTGTGAGGCCAAGAGAGCATGGTTTTTGAGTTTTGATGGTTTAATTCCAATCTGGGTCAGTTAATATATATTTTTTGGGGATCCTGACAAATATAACTTGAAACTCCCACAATGGTTGTTATGCAGTGACAATCTCTAGTTAGCCATTGAGGGTTAGCAAAAAGGATCACACAACCCACTTGCCAGACTAGTTCAATACTAGTACAACTAGTATCAGTACTTCTCCTGAGACAGAAGTGTTAATATCTTCAGATTTTTCTGGACTTTGAATCTTTTATTGTATACACCTCAGAGGGATGGTAAAACAGTAAGACAAATTCACTACTGTTCTGGTTAAGGGCAATAGCTTTATGCTAAACATAACTAACCTTTCAAACCAGAGTAAGAAGGTTCATCTTTGTCTGCTTCAAAATAAATGTCAACCCACCCAGGGTGAATTCAAACTAGTGCCTCTAAAGTCGAAGTTCCTGAGGTGCCAAAGTCTTAATACTCCCAGTCATCATGATGTCAGTTCTGGATACATGTCACCACAGGTCATACAAACAGGCATGAGGTATCCGATAACAGATGTTAATAAGGAACTAAGGAAAGCACTTCCTGGCCATATAAACTAGGTAGCACTCAAAACCTTAAACATAACACAAAAACTTAACTTTTTAAAAGTTGTTTTATTAGAGACACAGTTACGTAACAAAGCTTCTTCATGTAATTTGACTTAGATGTCACAATAATGAAATTAAATCAGTTGTTAACCACCTCACTAGTGGTATACAGTCCCCACTTGAATGTATCAACTGATACCAGCAATCAAACTATATAAAATACCAAAGCTACTGATACTCATACATATAATTATCATCACTAATCAACTTTTTAAGATATATTTATATACCTGAAAAAAAAAAAAACCTGTACCACTACAACCCATGAAGGGTCTAGGGTTCAGTAATATTCAGGGAAAGCACTGTTTCTAGGTCAACGGCTGTGCAAGGAGGTGATTTGACCAATATCACGTTCAACTACCAGGTTTTCTCCCTTAATCAATTTTTTAATTAAGGGTATCAACTTTATAGAGGCTGGGTGTGCCCCAGGAAGATCTCCCGACCCAGGGTCACCCCACGGCCAATGAAACAGATAAATAAATTTGCCAAGGTTCGAACCTGGGACCTTTACATTGGAGCTAGCCCACTCCTTATATTTATATACAGAGAGTAAATATTTAAGTTGATAACTGAAAAAATTGATCTTGTGATATTAAACAAAAATCTAAAATTTGAATAATTAACTAATGACTACCAAACACTATGTACATGTCAATTTATTGAATACTTATATTAAAGTAATATTACGAACTTGTGATTCATCAGCAGGTTCTTCATTCATTTTAGCAAGCATCTCTTCAACAGTTTCTTCCTCATGAATAGTATCCTGTAAATAAAATTACTGAGGTCTGAAAAGGAATTTATTTATTATCCTTCTTAAACTTAAGACAATCTAGATCAATAATTGCCTAGTATCAGTATTAACATAGAATAAAAAACAACTACAAATTCGAGAACGATTCACTAATAAGAAGAAATTGAGAGCTACCTTAAATAAAAAATTGGGAATTACAAAAAAATTATTTGAAGCACTGTCAAATTGTAATAATAATGCAAAATGTGAGTCATCAAAATCAGCTAAAAGTATAAAACTCTTATGCCATAAATATGAATATATGAAAATACTTCATTCCAAAAAATAAGTTTAGATATGTTAAAAAATTACTTGCTTAGAAATTCTTTTAAAGCAAACTTGTCTGGATATCATTTCATTGGCATTATATTATCCACTAAACCTGTAACAATATAAACTACTTTTTCTTAAATTAACAAATGAACATATGATTTATGACAACCAGATGATTATACTCACAAAATAAACAACAGAAATTCAGAATGATAACATACATTAAGAGTTAAATACCTCGTTTTCATTGTCAGAGAGAGGCTCCTCTTTTATATCAATTTCTGAAGTAAGTGAATGCTCTTGGTTGGTAACAGGATTACTGGAGTCATAAGTAAAAGAATCCCTAACAATTGTTGGAAAGTGGTCTAGATGCTGAGGTTGTTCATTACTTTTTTCCTCAGAAACCCCAACTCTCTGAAATTCAACTGAAGTTACAAAATAGAAACGTATGACCTAATAATGTTTTAGTGGATAGTGCTAATAACCTGCTGGTTTATTCTTCCTTTCAGTTTTTTTTCTTTTCTCTTTCGTTCTGCTTTTCTGATCTGTCTAGCCAACTTTGCTTCAAAGCAAAGCCGAAGACGACCAATACCTCTGAATTCCAAAATTTTAATGAGACGACCATAGTCCCTGGAAGAAATATATCATGACAAGTGAATTTCTTCAATAAGTGGAAGATCAGACAAGTGAACAGGTTCAAAACACAATACCTGGGATGAAATTTATTTCTCCAAACATGGGGTAAATTTTCTGAAGGCACTGCTTCAGGCTTAAGTTCTTTGACACCATCTGAGGGAAAATGGATGCAAAAACAGCTGATATAAAATCACAATAATTCACATTAACTAATACAATATTAAATACATATTAAATAATCACAACCTATCCTTGTGTAGTCTTCCAGTTTAAAATGGCGAGAACAAACCATCATATGTTTACTAATTTTTTGGGGCAATTTGATAGCATTGACCCATTTGAGAAGGAATTCTTTATTACAAGCAAATGGCAATTGATGAAATAATGTCACATCGTTTGTCTTGAAGTTTAATCTGGAGTTGCAACCAAACACACAACAGAGCGTTCTTTCAGATTTAAAAAGAGGCAACGGATTTCTCATACTTTATTTCTTAAGACTGTGTTAGTGAAATTAAAATCATTGAATATTCAAAAATATAACGTACAGGATAAAAGTTCATTAAAATTTAAAATTATATAAACAAGCTTGTATACTAATCCACAATCAAGCGCGAAGGTAACTTATATACAGCGTAGGTCGAATCGAAATATCGATGTTTAGATAGAGAAATTAAATTATTTTCCTTTTCCAAATAAAAGGATAAAATGAATTAAACTTACAGAATTATATGAATTACTATAAACAAAATATAACAGTACTGTTTCAAAGTAAATTTCATCCTCTTCCATTAATTTTATTTTATGCTTGACAAATTATTTGTTTTTTTTTGTGATTAGATAACATTATTTTATACAATTAAATGTTTATTCAAATAAACTCTAAATCATTAAATTAACTGTTTGTGTTAATTTTAAAAATAACATATAATTTATATTTTTGAATAAACTGTAATAGAAAAAAGCTCAGGCGCAATAAAAGCGATTTCCTCCCTCTTGTATGGATCGCTGCAGAAGATCGCAAAATCTCTGGAACAGTGGTATTGAAAGTGATAGCAGCAGTAGCGGATCCATGTTTCAATTTTTGGAGGCTTTCATAAAAATTAATTACTCTGGAAGGAATATAAACAAATTGAATGGAATGATGTTAAAATGGTCCTAAACACCACCTCACACGGTCAATATTCTTGAAAGTTGTATACATGGTGAGAAAAAAAATCGACATTATTTGATGAAAACTTTGAAAGAATTTTTTTGAATATTTGTGTCATTTATATTTTAAAAAATGAGAGCGTGCCACCTGCAGAGCCGAATCTTGCTACCTGTAAAAATGGCGGCTGATTTAATGAAAATTAGACCTGTAACTTGAGGATCGAAACGGAAAATTGTAGGTAAACTTTTTATTTTTTTTACTTGTACATATTGGTTGAGACATGTAAAAAACAAAATTGCTAACGCGAAAACTTTTTATAGCCAAAAATGCCAGATTTTTTCGATATTTTTTTGTTTTTCACTTATAACTCCTAAACGGTGCATCGAAGGTAAAAACATTTTCTTTAAGAATTTATGGAACGTTAAATTTTGCGTCAAATGAATACCTAAACTTAATAATGTAATTAAGTGGTATGGGTGATAACCACGGTCAATCAACGCTGATTTTGACTAAATTCGTCAAAAACTGAGACAAATTACTATATATGGCTCTGCAGCTTGGAAATGAATACTATAAGAGGAAAAAATTAGATAATAAAAGTTGTAGAGCACCAAATTCCGCATCCACTAAGTACTAACAGTTTTAATGTAGATCAATTATATATCTCGAATCGGGGTTCGTTATTTCTTCTTGAAATTAAGTTTTTTTTTTACACCTCATTTCTCAAAATCCTTCGCGTGGAAAAGAGTCCTACACTGTATATACTGGATTCTTAACAAGAATATCTCAGTAAAATAGACACCCATACTGTTAAAATATTTTAAATCACAGATATCAATCAATCAATCTTTATTTGTTTTAAGAGAAGAACCATATACAAGTGGAGTCTATCATAAAATAACGAACATTATTATCCTCATGGAAATGCAAATTCCTTTTTATAATGCATAAATTAAAAATCATATAAGGTAAAGGTCAGACAGTTAAAATAGTTCCAATTACCAAATTAATATAAAATCTAAAATTGTCAACAATATACGTAAATAAATATGCATAAAACAATAAAAACAATGAATACACATTTTTTAAAAATATTAATATTAAACTATGTTTTAAAATTAAATTAAAAGATTACCCCTGTACCCAAGAGAACAAACAAGAAAAATACGCGGATAGACTACAATTCAATGTACAATATGGAATTTTTGCTATAATATGCGGAGGACAATATTCCAGATTACCCTACCAATTCTCTATAATGCGATATAATTGAGATAAAAAAATATAATTTTCTCATATCTTCTGCACTGGTTGGCTTAAATATTTCTATTCCATCAAGATTTTCCATACCCTGGTAAATTATTAACTTTAAACTAATATAAATTGGGCATTTAAATAATATATGATGAAGTGTTTCCTTTTCTTTTAGTGTTGCACATTTTGCACTGAAAACGTGAAGTAATTTTCACAATTTAATTTTAATAGAAATCTTGATCATATATTTTCCCGAGAGTCAGTTCTGCATTAATAATTTCGTATAGTTGAAATTAGTCGGTATCAACAAATACTGGAGGATCTGAACATTATTAAGAAAAAGGTTTAAATGTTCACTATAAGATGAGCTATGCAATGATATCCTGTCTCTGTCCTGCAAATGTTGTTTATATTTATTTAATATCCTGTTAATATTTGTTCTAATTATGGCTGAGTTGGTTTTATAAACTACATTTCCTTCCCCAACGGTATCTAACAATACTTTTAGCTGAGTACACTAATTATATTTCGATAGAGCAGGATTAGCTGAGTAACATTTATTTCTTAGCTTTTCGAAACATATTTTTGGATATCTACATTCCTCCATTTCCACAAGTTTAATCACCAACCAATTCAATGAACACTTCATAATATTGAAACCAATAAGTAGACCCTGTTTCTAAACATACTAAAAAGTCTGGGTTTGTTTTACAAAGCGAATATGTCTTTTTATAGAAATTTGTGTTGACCTTTTCTAGCAGCTCTATCTATCGGAGACTCCATATTTTGGCACAATATAGCAGAGATGTCTTGATGATAACTTTTTTCAACGTATCTCTCGCCTTCCAGGAGTTCAGTTTTGCTTTAGAACAAATGTTTATTACATTACCTATTGTCTAGTTTGACTTGGAGAAGTCATCTTAACTGCTTGCGAAAACAAACCAGTCCTACAAAAGTGAACACATAAATAATTGTATGTACTGACTGTATCAATCAGTTCTTCATCCAAATATATACTATTATATTTCTTTGGGCGCCCCCTAGCGAAATTCAAAATTTTCGTTTTTATCGATGTTTATAATTAGTTTATTGTCTCTGCAGAGCATTAATTTTTTTTACAATGTCGGTATAGGAATCAGCAAAAATAGCCATGTCATCTGCAAACAAGAGCAACTGTACGTCAACACAGCCATCAATAAGTATACCTGACAGGTTACGCTTGCGAAAATATTCCTCAACATCAGATAAGAAAAGATTAAACAGCTTGGGACTCAGTGTCTCTCCATGTAGCACACCTTCGGTAATTTTAAACTTTTGCGGCAGTCCTCCAGCGGTTCCCTTTATATGTGTGTATGCATTATCATACATATTTCCCATAACTCGAATTATTTTCCTACGCAAACCTAAAGAAAAAATGTTTGTGCCATAGTAGCTTGTAATTTATGGAGTCAAAAGCCCGACAAAAATCAGCAAAAATAACGAAAAGATGGACTTCTCTTTTAAAAATTGGTTTTAGATAACGGCATTTAAGACAAAAACATTATCTAAGCAGCTTCTCCTATTTCTGAATCCTGATTGGCATTCAGGTATAATTCCGGTTTCTTCTGTCCATAATGTTATTCGTTCCTACAGGATTTGGGTAAACATTTTGGAAGCACAGATTGCCATACATATTAAGTTCGATAATTAAGTGGGTTTCCTCGGTCCCCATTCTTAAATATCATTATGCTCAAAATTTCAGCTCATGATTCAGGCACCTCCTCATTCTTCAGAATTTCATTGAATAAATTCTTTATATACATAAACCAATTAGCTGGAATATTCTTATATATTTCGTATGGGACACCATCAAGCCCTGGGCTTTTGCCATTTTTAACTTTGTCTTTAGAACCCTACCTTAAATCACAGATATCTTTCCAACCAATTTCCAGCCATCGCTATACACCACCGATTTCGAGCGAGGTAAGTGACCTACATTAAAACTGTCGGTACTCAGTGGACGCGGAATTAAATGCTCTACAACTTTTATCTATGGGTTTTTTTCTCTTAGAGAGTTCATTTTCCAGCTGCAACGCCATTTATACTAATTTGTAATAGTTTTTGATAAATTTGATGAATTAGTAAAATCAGCGTTGGTTGAACGTTGTTATCGCACGTACCACTTAACTAGATTATTAAATTCATTCATCATTGGACGCACAATTTAACTGTTTTTTTTGGCTGTAAAATGTTATACCTTTATGGCAATATATATATATATATTTTTTTTTTATTTCTGAACCCATATACATAAGTTAAAAAAATAAAAACTTTTCTTACATTTTTCGCAATGTATTTTCCGTTTCAATCAAGTCACTGGTCAAGTGTTCTTTAAATCAGACGTCATTTATACAAGTAGCAAGATCCGACTGACAGACTCTCATTTTTAAAATATACATATTAATAAAAATGATTTTAAAGTTTTCATTAAATAATATCGATTTTTTTCTCACGGGCTCTCGTACTATACCTATTCAGTCATATTGAAATTGTTAAGTCGAACGATATTGCTTTCAGACAAGCCCGGAATTTACGAGGGGCAAAGGAGAGTTTGTCACGGAAGGCAAAATTCGAGAAAACTTCGTTTTTATTCAAAGAAAAAGAAGTTTCTACTTTCTGGTTGTTTTGATCTTAACTCAGGCAATGACACGAGCTAATATTATCGAAGTATAATATTTATTTCAAAATAATCTATCGATATCTTTTCTACTATCATATCCTGCGCATATTGTGGCGCACGCACGTACGCACGCATGCCCGCACGCACACAAACACACACACACACACACAAACACAAATACACACAAGCACACGCCATTTGGCGAGACTTGGTTATTTGGACTTAGGGGTTCTCAAAACGTGCATTTCCCTTGAAAACTGAGATTCGAAAATTTTTACGATAGCAATACTTTCCTTTATTATAAGGCAAGTGGAAGTATAATAGTAGATTTAAATTTAAAGAACATTAAATGATAAAGCAAAATTAAAATCTTATAATTTATAATAGGATGTATGAAAAAGAAATGACCGTTTTTCAACCAAATATTTGTATTATTATTTCTTTGATATAAAATACAATTAATACTCTAAGTATAGTCCATTGTTACCTACCGTCATTAGCCACCTGCTAGTCAATTGCTCGATCCCACGCTGATACCATTCTTTGGGATGGCTGTCAAATAACTCTTGGACCGCAATTTTAACTTCCCCAAAGTTATAAAATTTTTCCCTCGAAGAAAATGGACAAATGGGTGGGTCTAAATAAGTAGCAATCCGATGGTGCGAGGTCTGGACTATATGGTGGATAGTCAGGAGTTCGAGCCCATGAAATTTTTTTAAACTTTTCTTTGGTTCGATGGGAAGTGTGAGAACGAGCATTATCTTGTTGGAATAAAATTCCTTTTCGGTTGATCAAAGCAGGATAACGCCCTGACAACTTCGCGTACAATCTTTCCAGTTGTTCGCAGTAGAGCTCAGAATTCATAGAGCGTCCATCAAGAACAAATTCTTGATGAATAATACCTTCGGAATTCCAAAAAATGCAAAGGATTTTGTTTCACATTGTCCCTTTGCAACAACCGGGAAATCAGTTTGACTGCGATCTAGCCATTGCTCACGGGTATTTCGATTTCTCCAGTAAACCATCTTTTCATCACAGGTGACAATATTCCGGTAAAATCTCATATCAGAAGAGTTTTTCAATAAATTTTCACAAATTTCGAAAATCTCTTAGCTGATTGCTGATGAGTAAGCTCGTTAGGAACCAGTCTACTGCTCTTTTTCACCTTCCCATCAAGAGTAGATGGCGACTGACAGTATCTTTCGACACCCCACACTCCCTGGCAAGTTCGCGAGAACTTGTGAACGGATTTGATTCAACAGCTTCCTGCAGAACCACACCAATGTCCATTATTGGCCGCCCGGAACCCTTCTCCCTTTCCAATATAGTATCTCCACTGCTAAATTTTTCAAACCAACGCCGCTCAGTGCGCTGGTCAATGACACCTTCCTCATCAAATTTAATAATTTCACGAGTCGCTCCAGTGGCTGTGAATTTTTTTTTTCCCGTAATGGCTTAAAATTACGAGAATTTCGAAAGACATGGTCATGTTTCTTCTTTGAAACAAATTACTAAACTGACGCTTTTTTTTTTTAGAAAGTCGAACGGGATTAAACAAGCTTAGAGAATGCTCTAAAAGAATTATTAAGTATTAAATAGGATTAAAATATTTACAGTACTTTGAAATCTTGAATTTGATAAAACGATCATATTTTTTTTATAAACCCTATTATATACAAAATTTCCAAAGCATTTATTACTCATTCTGAACACAATCCCTCACACACAACTATAGCTAAAGAATTCCTTTCTTCACCAATTCCTCTCTCCTTACCTCTTAAAGCTATTAATCCCTCTGAGGTCAAATTCCTTATAAATAAACAGAAATCAAGAAAATCTCCTGGATAAGATCTCACCTCCCAGATACTCTGATAACTTACTAAAAAAGCTATTATATTCCTGTATGGAATATGCAATATGGAAGCACTCCATCATCACCCTTTTCCCAAAAACCAGGCAAATCTGCCAATGAAACTTCTTCCTACAGATCAATAAGGTTTCTCCCAATCCTCTCTAAAATATTTGAAAAAAACCTTCTCAAACTAATGCTACCCATACTTGAGTTAAAAAAATTCCCTAACATCAATTTGGTTTCCGCCCAGGACATTCCACAGTTTAACAAGGCCTTCGCGTTATTGATCACATATCTCCCGCACTTGAAAGCAAGCAATATTGCACGGCGCCTTTCTGGACGTAACGCAAGCTTTCGACCGTGTGTGGCAAGATGGCTTGGTTTTTAACTCAAAATCCATATATTTTGATGATATATGACCTTTTGATGATATATTATTGGAGTTCTGCCAGTGGCCAGCTTCTCCACCTAAGTCCTGAGTTTATGTGGCTTTAGCGTTCTCACTCAGCCTCCACTTTCAGTGGAACAGTGTTGTGACTGGGATCTCTTTGAGCCCTGCTTTCCCTTTCACATGAGAGTGGCAAAGCATGGTTCAAGGTTCTCCCCAGGCTGAATGAAAACATAGCATATAGGAATGAGTATTAATTTTTCCCTTCTTTTTATTATCATTTTAATGTATTTTTTCCTTTTTGTTTTTACAAGTATTTTATATTTTTGTTATCCTTTTATTGTATATATTTTTTACTTAGATGTTTTCTCCTTATTTCTTTTTTCTCAATTTGTATGTAATAGTATGAATGTACATATAGAGCCTTAATGCCGAATGCTCTTGATTGTGGCAGATTGTATTATTATTATTCCAATAAAAAAAAATATACAAATTTTGAACTTTGAACCACATTAAATTAATCCTTTAAAAACAAAGGTGCCCAGAAGGGGGTTTCATCAAAGTTTTTGAGAGGAGTATATTTTGACAAGTTTTTGAATTTTTGAGGGAGCAAATTTTGACGGGGTTATGAATTTTGGAACTGAGGCACAGGGGGAAAACATGGAACAGACTGCAATAAGTGTAATTGTATATGATCTACGATTTTTCTAATTCTGCCTGGAAGTAGAGAGTTTCCGAGCACAGTGTACGTTGACGATATGGCTGTGATAGTAGAAGCAGATAGCAGAGCTAGACTTGTGATTGAAGCAAAGAGTTGTGCCAGTAAGGTAGAAGAATGGTGTAGCAGAAAGAAGATGAGAATGGCAGCGGCCAAAACACAGGCTATACTTCTTAAAGGGAAAACAGGCAGAGCTCACCTTATTAACCTGAACCTGGGAAGAGTAAGGGGAAGAGCATGTGAGTGGTAGTCAGATTCAGGAGAAGGGTGATGCTATCCTACACATCTCATACTTGATTCTGAGAGAAGACGCCATTAAGTTTGATATCAAGAGAAACAGGCTAGGATCACTCCCGGAAGGACTATGACGGAGGGCAGAAGACGGTGTTAGGGGAGGGTTCACTCGAGGAATGGAACATGCAGAGGATGACAACAGAGAAGAGATCAACTCTCAAGAAATTCTTTCCCACTGTTTATTCAAGATTAGAGGTCCCACCTAACAACTGACAACAGGGGGTTTAGAGTTAAATTGAATAACCATGGAAAGAATATTGCACCCTGATGCTCCACATGCAGGGTTCCCGACACAACAGAACACGTCGTGCTGACATGCACAAAAATGTACAAACACCGAGCCTGCCTTTACAGGAAGGGTTATACAATCTTAGAGATGTCCCAGGACTGAGGGCGGAGGATAACGATCCTCACTTCACGGAGTATGTGAGGAGGTGGGCCTCACGCACTTCAACTTCGGAAGAGAGCGACCGGCAGAGGAAGGGGATGAACCGCCACTTCAAAGGCCAAAGGAGTAAAGAAGAAGGTTGATAGCCACCAGAGAATGAAAAAAAAAAAATAGGGAAAGGTGTAGCCCCATCAGCCGCGTACCTGGCTACACCACACAATCTCTGTTTTTGATATTCCTATATATATAAAAATATCCTAAAATATACGTAGTATATTTTAAGTATGCAACGAAATAAAGAGAGTTGTATCGGCAGCAGTGGCATGCGCAGACCCCATGTGCAATACCACTGATGCTGAAAAACTGAATTTAGTTATTGAGACTGATTTTTTCTATCAAAATAAAATTACAAATTCACATTGTCTTCTTCAAACTAACTACCTTGGAAAATCACACAGTCTTTCCATTTATTACAAAATATTAATATCATATTCTATCATTTTAAACTTATTTATTTGAATGAATATCATGGTATGATTAAAAACAAATGAGTTTATGCAATGTGACTGATAGGATATACAGAAATAGTTTTTCCATACTCCATATGTGCAAAAAGAATTAGAAACTTCTCTAATAAAGGAGAGATTAAAAATTATGATTCATCACAATTAGGCTAGATAAAATGATTAAAAGTATTACTGATGAATTTTTTGGTGTCTGTCAAGGAAAATATAGGCAATAATTATATAATAAATATAAAGATAAACTATATTTAAATTTTTAGGCAGGTAAACAATCAATTATCACTAAAAATATGTGCAAAAACATCTATAAATATTTAACAATATATAATCTCCTTATCACAACAAATCCAAAAAGAAAAAAACTAAGTGATTTCTTTAATTTAATAACATAGTCTTAATTTTATTAAGGTTCCTAAAATATAGTATGCCAATTTTTCATTATACTTTTTAAGTAAAAGATCTAAAATGTCAATAGTGGCATCCTGGCCACTAAATGTTTGACTAGTGTCAATCATGGCTTAAAAGAAAGTTGTTTTGTTTTGCTGAAGCAGCATTTTTACGTCCATTCTTAGAGCCCCTTCTGCGGTGCCTTTTGCTCCCTGGGACAGGTGGTGGCTGTCGTGAGAACGGTGAGCTGCAATCATCGGAGCTACCACCATCAGATGCCTCTGACATGTCAGAAACTTCAGAATAGTCAGAAATATCTGATACCTCTGACACTTCTGAAGCGTCAGACTCGGAACGCCTTCTCTTTATTGCTACCTTCTTCCGGTTCCGCGATTTCTTTTCATTTTTGTGTTTTTGTCCCAGAATCGAAGAACCAGCTCTGATTAAATAAAAAACATATATATATATATAAATAAAATTAATTAACAAAAGAATAATGTCAATATCTATATATAATTCACTTGATAGCACAACCAGTAATGTTCATTTTTGCTTATTTTCTGATTTTTTAAAATATTAATATGATAAGCATGTTATTTTTAATTTTTAAAGAATAGACTCATTGTTTTATTTTTTGTGGGATAAAAAGCATTTTAATGTTATTATTCATTTGTAGAATCTTAATATGTTCTATGATAATTAATTCATTATGAAAATGTCTAGTTTTGACAATATATTTTTTTTTTTATCATTAACTTTGAAATAAATACTAAATTCTTCAAAATTGATTATGATTACGAAATAACTGACTGATTTTAAATCGCAATACTTTCTCATATTAATGAAAATTTTATTTGATTTTCTATAAAAACTATTCAGGTTTGGAAAAAAACCTTAAACAGATTGAATCATTCAAGGATTGATTCACAGTTTTGATTTTAATCAAATGTTACTAATTATGTACACTTTATATAAGACGGTAGGCAGTATAAATCTTTTGTCTGGCTCTCATGAGCAATGGATTTAGAAGAATGACATATCAAACGAAAAGGAATTTTATGGAAAGGTGATGAATCCTAATTTAAAACCTAAAAACCTAACTACATTAAAAGTCATTAAAAAAATTAAGAGATATCAAAATTCGACAGATCGAGATAGGATATATATTTAAATATTTTGATCCATACCTTACATCTGCGTTTTAAAGTCCTGGGAACTTTTATAGTGTTCTTAGTCAAGAATTTAATGCATTTTACAGACATTTCAGTCATTATATTATTAATTTGAGATATTTAATTTAGAAAAATACCAATTAAATTATTAATGCCAAATTTTCTTTAGCTTGTGGATATCATAAAGCAAATAAATAGCTGTTGCTGACTTAAAAAATACAGAAAAAAAAATGTCTAACCTTCTGAATTAACATTTTTCAAGTCTAAAGTTAATATTTTCCTAAGCATACCAAATCAATAAATAAGCAAAGAATCAACCTTACCTGAAAACTTTTTTAGATATGACATCAGAGAACCTAACAGTCTTTTTGATAGAGCAATGTCCCAATGATTCATCTTGATTGTCTGAAGAATCTAAAGAAGACCAAGTCGAATATTCATCAGTATTCGACTCACTCAGACTACGACTATTTTTTAAAATACTCCTACGCACAATTGCCTAGAAAAAAAAAATCATTTTTGTAAAAACTAATGAATGAGTAAATTTAACAATTTTCAAAATGCCTCTTTATTACTTAAAAATTGGGTATAAAATAAGAAAATCAAGAGGATGAGTGGCTGAATCATGATTTAACCTAAAGTAACTTATCTAGGGATATAACTAATACAAGATTAAAAATACATATTACTTGTTCCTGGTAAGGCTAGGAGGAAACAAGATCTGAGTAAACTTTGCTCAGGAGATTATCTTATTCTAAGATTAGTTTAGTCCAAGGATAGAAAATAGAACTAGTCCTAACTTCTGATACAGCCCTTACAATGTTTAATCTGATATACTTAAAAGGTAGAAATAGTTTGTTTCATAGGAGAAAACTTATAATTAAAAAAAAAAAGGCTTAAAAATCAAAATGTTAAACATTGATGCCACCTATAATCCCCAACATATTTCCCTCTACTAATCTCTGTAAAAACCCATGCCAGGTAGTGAAAAGTCTTACTTTAAACAATGCTTCTCTGTCTTGGTCTGCTCCTAAAACATTTGTTGTTTAGGTCTGTGATAAATACTTTTTAAGCAATTTGTTCATTACTAAGCTTCACCAGACCATTTCAACAGTTCGGATGCTATTACCTCACGTATATTTACAAGCAGTTTAAGAAATTAGGTAATGTGTGACTATCTAAATTCTTCAGTTAACTTATTATTTTTCTGTCAAGATATTCTAAGCAATACTTTATTTTAATAAACATCTGCAAACTTAATCCTTTGCACTCGTCATCGCATAGGACGATACCTACCAGCGACTCGACTCGATCGTTAATCTAGTCATGATAACTATTATCATATTTACCACACAGGGGGGCCACAGGTTAGAGAAGTGTAAAGTCCACATGTTCTCTTTAAAAGTAAAACCTGTTGATTTATTTATCATGCATCTTGATATTTTTATTATATTTTGAACTGTTTTTGTGTGATTTTAATAGAAAATTACAAGAAAACATGCATTTATTAAAAATTGCAGTAGAATAAGTTCATTTTCCGTAATCTCTCAAATAAATTTTCATATTCCCTCAGGGTGAACAACCAATTGTAAAATGCTAATAAACAACATAAATAACTGCATCTCCTGACTATTGTTCATTCTTATAAATTTAATAAAAGTTCAAATATTGAGATTCTCTCAACATAAAACAGAGTAGGACTTTTGTTTATGGAAAGAAGGCGTAAATAATATATTTTGCAACAAAGAGATAACAAGCATTAATCACTTTTTAAACCCATCATGATATACCTTCATATTACATATCATCTTTAATATTGATAAATATGGAGGAAGCTGGTTGAGGCCAGGTTTTATCATGGTAATATAGCACTTGAATTATAAGAATAATAACATTAATAAATTGTGAAGTTGAGTGTTCCTTGAAACAACAGAGGTATTGTTATTTAAAATTATCCGGTTCTTCAGCATTTTATAGCGTTCTCTTTCTAAATTTGGTCCCGTATAATTCACCTCTTTCATATCATTTGTTCTATTGTCTACTGGTTCAAACTTAGAGAACAAAATAGCTAATATTCTTACTGTTCTAACACAAATAATGAAATTGAAAGAGAATCATCACAAGATGGGTTACCACTCAATTACAATATTTTTAAAATTAAAGAAAAATCTTTAATCAATAATGATTTTTCAATTCAAGGCACATATCATTTATAATGACATTGAAGGGATCCAGTAAATCCTGTTGTTATGAGCACGATAAATAGAACATTATTTATTTGTTAAAATAAAATAAAGAAATTATCAATACTATTTCCTACATATTAAGATATGTGTAAAAAAAAAAAATGATTTTATAAAAAAATTTCTTATACAGATAATAAACCTGTTCAATAATAATAGAGTCTGGATCGATTTGGCATAGTCTCATTATCTTCAGAAATGGTCTTTGGCAGTTGATGATCAATATTTGAAGAACTTGAACCTAATATACAAAGTTTGGTGTCTTTTCTTTATCAAAAATATCATTTTTGATGAGTTCTTAATGTCTGAAACAGTTTTTTCCTGTAGTGAACAAAACATCACTTCATGATTCCATGAATTTTTTCATGATCAGATGTTTTCTATAATTCTTTTCCAGATTTAAAATAACATCTTGGTATTTTGCTTAAAAGATATAAGTCAAATTCGGTGGTTAAAAAGCACCATTGATTATTTTGTTAAGAAACTGAAACATAATTTTCAATCACTATGGTCACCATATCTATTAAAAACTACATTATAATAGCTTCGCGAATAACTGAACCATTTTATTTTAAAAGATGATATCTCATTACAACTGATGTTATAGATAGAATAGAATAGAAAATATACTTTATTCTGAGACAAAGTTCCCTTAGAATAACAATAATGAGAAAATACAAGAAGAAAAATACATAACTGGCCAAAAACTAACTTAATAACGATTCTGACAATATATACAATTATTTAAATAATAGTATTAAATAACTAAAAAATAAAATAAAAGATAAATAGTTTCCAGTGTATCAGAATAGCTGAATAGTATAAATAGTTGATCAGAACAAATTTCACTGTTAGATTCTATCTTTACAAATGACTTAAATGCCAATGGAGAGCTATTTAATAACATCATAAAACTAGATCATAAAGGAATATTATATATTTATCTAATTAAAAAAATCTATATTTATAAAGAAAGTGATCGATTCCAACTAGTATTTAGTTCGTTTCTGTAATAAATTCTTCTACCTCATTATAAACAGGTTAAACTAATTTACATAAGCATATTTGTTTTTTTTAAATGGAATAATTTAATTATTAACTAATTAAAGTAAATAAAAATTACCACAGGTGGTGGACGAAAATTTGTCTCAGAGCATGTTCTTGATTTTTGTACAATCTTTTGGCCATCAGTAGAAACAGGCCTTTTAAGATCTAAATTAATGTCTACTTCAGAGATACCATGACAAAGTTGTTCAACTTGATTGTAACAAATTTCTTTCTCTGCAACATCTTTTACCTAATAAAACAAAGAAACTTAATTTAATACAGAATAAGACAGGTAACACAAAAAATAAGATATTGATTTTGTAACTACAGATTCTATTACTAAAAATGGGATTTAAAAAAAACAAAAGAACTAGGAAGAAAATAAAGGAAATGGTTCTGATGGAGAAAGAGAAAGCCTGGAAAAAATTTGGAAAATTTATGGAAGAACAAGCCAAAGAATATCTGAAACTGTTCTTGAAAAACACAAGAAAAGCCCTTAAAGTTTATAAAGGGCTAAGGATGGTCAAATAATAAGTGAACCGAAAAGAATACTGGTAAGATGAAGAGAATGCTTTAGATTTTACTGGATGTGAATGATATGAGTGAAAAAATGGAAGATTGCCAGGAGATAAATGAGGCTAGTGTGAAACTGCAACAAGGAGAAGATGACCTGATTGAAAAAGAGGAAATGTGAGACACACTGGATTGGATGAAGCTGGGAAAGGCAGCAGGTCATGATGTAATAACACCTGAGATGCTCAGATATATGGGGAGGTAGGGGATGAATTACTCTTCAGGGTATTAGAATTGGTCTGGAAATGTAAGAAGAGTTGAAGAGTCCGAAGCACTGGAAAATCTCAATCATTGTCCCAATCTGCCAAAAAGGTGATACTCGAAAATTTGCCAATCATTGAGGCTTTTCATTGCTTAGTCTTCCTGGTAAAATATACTCACTCATTTATCCTAGAAAGATTGAGGAACAAGATAGAACACCGACTGGACAAAGAGCAGTGTGTCTTCTGACCAGGTAGAAGTACTCAAGACCACATCTTTACGCCATACCAAACCAAATATGTGAGAAATTCATTGAGTACGACAACCTATGCTTAGAAAAGGCATTTGACAGGATACCTTGAAATGAGTTTATGGCCTTCACTCCAGAATAAACAAGTGTCTGAGGCTCTTATACAGAGAATTAAATCGTTCTATAAGACCTATAGAAATTATGTAAGAAGGTCCAATCAAACAACCGCCAAATTTTTCACCATGGTGGAAATCAGGGAGGGAGATATAAGGAGCCCTCTATATTTCATCACCCTTATGGATGATGTGATTAAAGAATTTAAGCAGAGAACCAAGGAGACAAAACCTGGATACTAGAAGTTAAAACCAGTAAACTGTTCATCGTTTGCATTCGTGGATGACATTATGCTGACAGTGAAAAAAACTACAGGCAAATTTAGATGTCTGGACAGAAGAGCTAACAAAAAGAAATATCATTATTAACACTTTCCAAGTGTATGCTGGTATCCAAAAACAAGAAGAATTTGAGGATTCCCATAAATGAGGAGATGATAGAGCAGGTTTCTACCTTCAAGTACTTGACTGTGTCAACCAGTGAGAGCGGGAAATTCAGAGAATTAATACGAGAATTGCCACGTCAGGAAGGATGTTCCCTGCCATTAATAGACAGTTTTTTAGTAAAAGTGAAGTGGCACTAGAAACAAAATTAGTTGTTTATCGCTTGACGTTCCTCCCTATCCTCACTTATGGAAGCTAATCCTGGGCCCTAAAGCAATGTGATTGCATCCACCTCCAAAACATGGAAATGAGGTATCTGAGGAAAATAGAGGGTAAGACCAAGAGAGGCCGGATACGTAGCATGAATATACAGACAATACTGTAAAGTGAATTCCTCAACCAGATAATAGAGAATGGGCAGCTTCGATGGGCAAGTAATGAGGATGGATGACTGCCATTCATTAAAGAAAACTATGGATGCTAAACTAGCAGAAAAATGACCAAGAGCAAGGCCAAGAATTACTTGGGAGGATAACCTCAAAAATATCCATTTTTCAAATAAGGAAAAAAGAATCGGATTGCCAGAAGCTAGAAGATCAGCCCTTGACCAATACGGATGGAACTCCTTGAGCAAAAATCTGAACATTAAAAGGTAGAAGATATTACCGAATAAGAAAGAAAAAAAACTAGGGAACCAATTAGCTTTATATGTTAATATATAAACTATTCATATCTGAGACTTAATTTTATAAATTCAATTTTGAAAAATGTTAATAATTCAGTGTTTTCAGTATTCAGTACTTTTTTAGCTAATAGTAATATTTAAAACATCTAAATAATGACCATGCAAAAATAATAAATTTTCAACATAAAAAAAAAAAAACAACGGTCCCATGACCATAAATAGTTTTTACTATGATCATAAATCATTTATCATGCCCATAAATGATATCTGTAGCTTTTTGTTAAAAATTATTAGAAAGTATAATATAGGATATTTGTCAATTCTACACTTAATAAAACAATTAGTTGTTAATATAAATGTGTAACTGAAATTGTATTCTGACAATCTGTCAAAATGATACATTCTTAGGCATCAATCAACTTCCTTCTTGCCAATATAACTGGTGTTTACCTGAGCCTACAAAACAAAAACATCTTGGAAAAGTAATACATAAAGATTTCATTAACATTCCTATGACGTGAAGATAAAATAATGAATTCAATAGAAAATACGGCAATCGAATTAGAAGTTTATTCTAATAACGATTTGACCTAGTTACCCTAAAAGGCATTTAGATTCCAAGGATAGGCATTGCTAAATAAGATCTGGGTACCTAGTACAAATATAGAAAAGATTATAATTAAATATTACTTTGAAAAAAATAAAGTAATTCTATTTGCAATGGGAATATCATTGGTTTATTGCAAAATGCCATTATGTAATATTTTAGAAAATTATATCTCTAAATAATTTGATGAATTTTCCTCTGTGAAATAAAATATCTGTCCACTTAATGAGTTTTTGCCTCGACAGATATGATCAAAATTACAAGTACGTACTTAAAAGTTTAGCTGCATCATAAGTATACTTTGTTAGTTCTAATAATAAATTATACTGACGATATTCTTTCTTATAATAGCAAGTCTAACCAGCACGATAGACCAACCTTGACATTAATTTCAACTTGATCAAGATTTCTGAGTGTTTTACAAGGTTTAGTAACAATTGTATTACCATTTTCCAATGACTTCTCTAATACTATATCCTTCTCAAACTGAAAATTATCAGATTTACTTTAAATCATATGGTAAAATTAAAATGATACAAGTCTTGAACTAATAAAAAAAAGGTCTTAATTAAAAAAAAAAAAGAACACTAACATTATTTGTTACCCGAAAATAGAAAGAAAAACAATTAAAACATAGCTTGTTCATGAATCTAAGAAATGCCCAATCAATGTCAGATCAAATAAAAAATGTTCTATATGCCTATTTATTTAATATGATATATGATTAATTATACTAATTATAACACCCAGCTATTTATAAATTAAGCTGAAACATAAACAGTACACATACTTCAATAAAAATTAAAAGGAATAAAAGACATCAATATAATATTTATTTATTTCATAAGTTGTAATCCAATACCTTGTTTGTGAGATAGATGTCCTTAAACCAAATAGGATTTTCTAAAAAAATGTCTTGCAATTTATCTAGTGTAGTTCCAACAGCATAAACAGTGAGTACATTGTCTTCACATGAAATGAGATCCATCATTATTATTAAGTTATTATCCCAAACATCAACCTTCATCGTTGAAGGATTGATGACAGATTTTGGAAATTTTATACAAAATGCAAAATGAATTGGAAAAAAACCAGAGCCCAGGGATGAAAACTTAAAATGTGCACCTGCTCCATCAAAAACAAACTGATGATACACAGTTGATGGATCTACATTTTTAACGTCAATGGTAATTGAAATACACTTATTTTTATTGCTGAAAGAATAAGTAGGGAAAACATAATGGACATCTTCTGAAAGAAATTTACTAACAACTTCTTCACTAGTCCTGAAATCTATTCCTTCTTCATTACACTTTTGTTCACCAAAATCACAAGCACTAATCACTTCAACAGGAGGTGTGTTTAGATCTTCATCACTGGATGAGGGGTTCTGGTTAACATCGCTTTCTATACCAGAATCATCACGATGAAAGAGATTTTCATTGAATTTCTTTTGAATCACAGGTAGAGTAACTATAAGCATTTTGCTCCTTTTATCAAAGCGCGCTGTTCCACTATTTTCATCAACTGCATAGGGGAGTGATATGTTCAACTTGTACTTTGATGGTTTCTCACTGATTAGAGAAAGAGTTCGTTCACAAACATTAAGTGAGGCATCCTCCGTAGAGCTCAATAAAGGGAGATCAATTTCTACAACAAGTTCCGTTGGTGTAGCAGCATTAACTTTAGCATCAACTGCATTAGAAAATTCATGGAAATCTACTCCTTTCCTATGTTTGATAACATACTTAGGGGTTGTGTATAAAGACCCTTCCTTAGTCACATTACCACGAGGCTTGGTCACTTTTGGACTCGAATTTTCCTTTATTGGACTATAAGGATAATTAGGAATATCCATAGGAGATTCACTAGATCCCGAAGGCATATCTGTACATTTCTTCCTAATAACTGATGCAGTTTTTGCTCCTTTAAAGTTAGTTTTTGGGAATCTTAGATTATTTCTGTCAAGTTTAGTATCAAAGGAGTCTTCTATGCCAGATAAAGCAGTATCATTGACGAAACTCTTGAAATTTTCATTTCTTCTAGCTAATTCAAGTGTTTCTGGGTGAAAAATAACATCAAAAACAATACATCTTTCTTTATTTTTGTCAAAATCAATTTTGGGTGGTACAAAGATATGAGGGAGAGACCAATTAGTCCCTAACTGACCATTTTGTTGAACTGTAGTAGGTACAGGTCTTCCAATAACATCATTTGAACAAATGTTGATAAATGCTTTGCGCTCTCCATCACAACTTGTCTTAATGACATATCCTGGTGTGGGATGTACAAAAGTGATATCAACACCTCTCTCTTTTTCTAATTTTATCATATCACTTTCATATGCAGCCTTGTTTTTTGGATCAGTAACTTCAGTAAAATATTCACCAAGGAGTTTTCGAAATTCCTCTTTTTTCATAGCTTCTTCAAATTCTTTCAATTCACTCCTTGAAATATCGACATTTTCAAAGGCCTGTTTTTCAAATTTCGACATCTTCTTACTGTTTTTAACAATAAATGATGAAGGTATTCCTACTTACAGAGACGATATACGGCGTAAATTTAATATTTACTTCCTGACAACAGTTGCTATGCGGCCTTTTAACCGGTAATAAAAATTAACAACTCAGAGGGATTTGAAAAATATTTTCACTAATCCTTTAAAATTAAAACAATTGAATTACAATTTTCAAAGTTGTTTCTACACCGAATAAACAACACAAAGAACAAAAACAACAAAATTGCGCAGAATTCAACCAATTATTTAATTTATCACCTTGATAATGTTTGCAAGAGTTGCCAACCTGATCTAACTAAAACACACTGATAACTGTTATCAATGTTTACTTCTGAATGACAGAAAAATGACAACAGTGTGATAAATGTTTTGATTTTATTTTTCAGTAGTTATATCATATGTGTCAATTGTATGAAAATAGCACAAATATATAAAATAAATATAATATACTTATAGTAGATACAGATCTAGCTTAATATTCAAATACAAAATGTTATTTAAAAAATAGGACTGAATAATGGAAAACTATAATAAGCTATTTGACTCTAATAGGTTTATATACAAATTGTAAACATACTTTTGTTAATAATACTATGAAGTAAAACCTAGATACATTATCTTATCAAAACATATATTATTCCAACCATAATTTTTAATCACTATAAAATTTATTCATGAAATTCAAAATTTGTCAAATTTACAGGAATTCATAAATCAATAATTAAAATTAGCCACAGGGAGATAATTTGACTGACCCAACAGTTCAAAGTGAATTAATTTATGGAATTTTCAAAACAAGTCACTTTAATGCCGTATTCAAGTAATTTTAATGGCCAATCTCTGAAGTACACGTCAGCACTTTTTCTAGTTCACCACAATAATGCCGTACTAAAATCAAACAAAATTGAAATATAAAAATACTGGTTGGATCTAGCGAATAATGTACATATCAAATCGGTCAATGAATAAATGGCAAAATAATATGGAAATCACTCAATGCAATAATATTATGAGATGAAGGAATTAATTTTATTTCATTAGACGATTTCAAAGGGTCATTCACAATAATAAATCAAAACCATTCATATTATATGCGCAGACTTCCATTTTGGTTGGAAAGGGGCGATAGATCCCTCCCTCCTCCCAAAAAGATTCTCGGGATTTTGTATTATGTACAAAAACTATGAGTGATAATCAACATAATTATTATAAAACGAACAATATGATATATACAAAAATAAACTTATTTATCAATAAACATAAATATATAAGTAGGACGAATGAAATTGTCAGGATTTACAGTCAAGAAGTTTTATTAGATTAGCCTAGGATTCGACCCAAACAAGTGGGTCATCATCAGGACTTTCTTTTGGGAGTCGTGAAAAGAACATATTAGTCAAGTCTGGAATCCAGAGATTCACTTTTGAATCGCTTTTTGGTTAATTTTTAAAATCGAAAACTACATATCTCCTGAAATACTGCAGTTATTTATTATACGGATACTTAAGTTGTCTGATACAGATCTCTTCAAGAATATAAACTGAAAATAGAGTAAAAAAAATCTAACCGGAAATAATTCTTATCGATTTCATGGATGTGTGCGGAAGTCCTAATCACTATCTAAATCAAAGGAGATTGATTATACCCATGAACACGTTTTCATATTCATTCATTCTAGGAATTTCGTTTATAATGTGATCATGAGACTCTGTGGCCACACATCAAAGTGGAGCAACACTTGTACAGTATACTGACAATAGTCGGGGCCGGAACTGGGGAAGGGCAAGCAAGAGGTATGAGAAGATGATATTAATTTTATATTTATTACCTACAATATTACTAAAAGATGTTGACTTTTATAGGGGGAGTAATTAGTAATGTAATTAGACGAACAATAATACTTTTAGAGATATTTTTTTCCCATAAAACATGGTTATATTTTACCATTTGGGTGGGAGGGGGAGAAGGAGGGGGAGCTTCAGCTCGAAAGCTCTCTCTCCGTAGAGCTGAGTGATAAAATAATTCATCTTTTTAAATTGGCTTGATGACACAAATGCCGAAACGTTGCCATGTAAATGATAATAGTTGAATGAATAAATATATGAAGAAAAATAACTCAAATTATTTCAATGTTTTAATTTAATTTTTGATTTTTTGATCTTAATTCAGTCAATGGCACAAGTTGATATTATCTGATCATAATTTTTATTTCAGGGTGTAGAAGAAAGGACGGTAAAATTAAGCCTACCTCTCCCAGTAAAAATCCTAGTTAGACAAAATTAAATAGGACAAGTAAATGACCCTAATCCGAAAAAGTACGACGGCAGCATTACTCCAGATTTTTTTTTCTAGATTGGTTACAAACTTCATAATTTAAAATAATAAACTACAATTTGATTTCTTTGAATATTCAGGCCTACAAAGAAGTGAATATGATTCGAACAGCACCTGAGGATCCTTAAAAAATGTGCTTGACAATTTGCCTTCCGTAAAAAAAACCGTCGCCGGTTTTTTTTTCTATCTAGATGACACGCCAGCATCTATCTATCTATATATATATATATTTTTTTTTTTAAATCCTGAATAAGCGTGATTTAGAAATTATTTCATGTCAGATAACATTACAACAGAAATCGGTAGTGACGCAAGATTGATAGTATTACTACAGATGTGTATCACAAAAGCTGATAACGTCGAATCGTTTGAAATAACACAAACAAAGATAATAATAATACTAACTTTTTTTTGGAGTAATATTGTAGATATTTGTAAAGTGTTTACATCCAATTTAGTGGGATAAAATATAATTCATTTTGGAGTCTTAAGAAATTATAACTTTATTGAAACATAATTTTCACTTAATGCATTGTAATAATTCAAACTTCAACTTTAATTCACCTTCCAACAAAGAGGCGATGTTGCTTTATCAGCAACTGAGTCAGGTCTGCTATGTTAGTTTGTAATATTATAAAGGATATCCATTTCTTTCTAACAAAAACATAGAAAGAAACCAAATTTTTGTTTATTTTAAATTATGAAGCATTGGGAACAACTAAAAAGAAAAACAATACGCAGAAATTCTGTGCACGAGCCCAGGCAAATATAATTGAACAATTTTTAAAAGAAAATATGGGGAGAAGAGAAATTATAATACCTGTGGAGTGGAAGAGTAGGTGGGTTCATTATAAAAATTAAAAGGATACCATGAGGATTCCAATGAGGAAGCTTCTAAGAGATTATGGCTTCCCCATAATCGTTCATGAAGGAGTGCTCTCAAACCCAATCAAAGTAGTAACTGGAGTGAAGCAGGGATATGTGCTATCACCAACATTATTCTTGTATGTATTACCTATTTCTGCCATAAATACTTTTACAAAAGTTACACTTTGTTTACATCCTTGTGTATTATTTAGATAATCCTTATCTCTATCAAGTTATTTTCTTTATATATCGGGAAAATAATCCCAATTAGTTTGTATTTTTCTTTGTCTCAGTTAACATGGAGTGGGGTGATAAAGAAAACCGATTAGCTGTGATCGCCTTTCACAAAAGTGGAAAATGTAGGCCAGAGATTTTCAACACTTTGAAACCTTTGGGTATCAGCCGTATGCTCGTGCACCGCACTATAAATAGATATAATGAGACCCTATCGGTATGTGACAGACCTCGACCGGGCCGTCCCCGCACTGTGAGAACGGCAAATACAGTGAGAGTAGTGGCTGCTCGAATCAGAAGAAATCCTATTCGAAAACAACAAATCATGTCTCGGGAAATGGGAATCTCTATCAGATCAACGTCTCGCATAATAAAGAGTGATCTTAGGATGGGTGCATTTTGAAGAATGACAGAACAAAGACTAACCACTTCCCTTTAAAAAAAAATAGAGTTGATAGATGCAAAGTGCTCCTTGGTCGTTACACTAATGGTGTTCATCGAAAGATTTTGTTTGGCGATGAGAACATAATATTTTCTTCATTTTTTTACAGTTGAAGAAAATATTAATCGCCAAAATGATCGTGTATAAGCATACATCTCTAAAGAAGCCCAGAAAGTCATTGGAAGAGTGGAAAGAGGTCATCACAATCCCTCAGTGACGGTTTGGTGGGGAGTTTGCTTTGATGACACCACAAAGCTCCATTTTTGTGCAAAACATCCGCTAAAAGCTATCAGGACGATGATTTGGAACCTGTTGTCAAGCTTCTAAATGATACTGTGTTTGCTAGAAGTCATTGGGTTTTCCAGCAGGATTCCGTTTCTGCTCACAAGTCCAGGTCAACTCAGCAGTGGCTGCAAAAGAACATTCTAGAGTTCATCTCTGCCTCGGATTGGCCATAGGAAGCCCTAATCTCAACCCACTAGATCACTAGCGGATCCAGGATTTAATTTTTGAAGGGGAACTTCAGCCCGAAAGCTTTTTTTTTTTTTTCATAAAAATGACGATAATTACTTTGGAAAAAAAGAAAGAAACTAACCATCTATATGAAATGGTGTTTCAGTGATTCCTTAAGTCCTTTTAAATGTAATTACACGAGCAATAATAATTTAAGAGATAATGTTTTAATATATTTTTTCATGAAACATGGTTATATTTTACCATTTTGGGGGAGGGGCTTCAGCCGAAAGCTCCCACCCCCGTAGATCCGCCCTATCACATCCGCCTGTCACATACCGATAGGTTCTCATTATATCTATTTATAGTGCGGTGCACGAACATACGGCTGATACCCAAAGGTTTCAAAGTGTTGAAAATATCTGGCCTACATTTTCCACTTTTGTGAAAGGCGATCACAGCTAATCGGTTTTCTAAGCCCGTGCACTAGATTATTGGCTTTGGTCTTAACTGGAAAGGATGGCATGCCACAGAGCACACCTTAACTTGGAAAGCCTCAAACAATCTCTGGTCCGAACAGTTGAGCGCTTTCTTCAAAAAATGATGCGTACTGCTATTGATGACTGGCCAAGGAGATTAAATACCTGTGTCAAGTCAAAAGGGGAACATTTTGAGTAATTTCTTTTTTGTTTTATTCTCTAGTGATATACATTTTATTTTCTAATAAAGTTTTTGAAAAAAATAATTTTTCTATTAAACTCTGTATATATTTCTTTGTAACAATATTTATGACAGGGCTAAGTAGAAGAGCAACGCTTGGAGAAAGAAGACGCGGTATCCAGTGGGGACTAAGGAAGAGACTTGAGGATCTTGACTTTGCTGACCATCTCTGCCTTCTGGCGCAGAGGTTCAGCGACTTGCAGTGGAAGTTGGATGCCCTTTGAACTGGGAATCAACAAAGGCAAGACAAAAGAGATGAGGACGAATGGGCGATGCCGGGAGCCTCTGTCTTGATGGGCGAGACTGTGGAACAGGTGTTGTTTACCTCGGAAGCACAAGTGGGTCTACAGGAAGGGTGGAGTGGGGGCTTTCGGGCTGAAGCTCCCCAAAATGGTAAAATATAACCGTTTTATGAAAAAAAATTATCGCTAAAAATGTTATTGTTCGTCTAATTACATTTAATAGTACTTAAAGAATCACTTAAACTCCATTTCATATAGGTAGTTAGTTTCTTTCTTTCTTCCGAATTAATTATCCTAATAGATACATACTAAAAAAAAATCTTTCGGGCTAAGCCCTTCTCCAAATTAAATTCTGGATCCGTTAGTGCTGGGAAGCATAGTCACAAAGGAAGGTGACAGCGGAAGATCTGAAAAGTCGAATAAAAAAGGCCAATGGGATTTTTGTTCAGCTTTACCGAATATGGCTGAACAGAAACCTATCTAAAAATACGAAAATACGGTTTTTCAACACAAATGTGAAATCGCTTTATGGCAGTGGAACATGGAAAGTGATTAAAAGCATCTCCCGCCCGCTACAGAAGCGTTAACAGATCCCTTTGTAGAGTACTGGGGACTTGGTGAGCAGAGCGCTTAAAGGATAGGCAGGAATATAGAAGGAAAGGCAGACCAAGAGAGACGTGGCGCAGGTCCGTAGATAGGAAATTGGGTCGGGTTGGAAAAACTTGGAATGAGGCAAGGAGGATTGCTTCTTTAAGTGATGGATGGAGGACACTCGTGGACGTCCCGTGCTCCAGTATTAGTCAAAGAAATTAATATTTTCAAAATTGGCGACCAATAAACTTTTAAGGACGATCAAATACTATCGAATGCCGAGGGATATGTCCAACGATTCTCTCTCCTTTCATCAGGGTATCTGCTGTTAACCTTCAGTGCATTCTTACTATGAATTATATAAACAGTATCAATAACGTGGGAGCTGGCTGAATTTTCTGTCAAGCTGGCTTTCGCTTGATGGTCGCAATTCTTTTCAGATTAGAAGAAACAATCGAACATGCGGGTGCTTGCTAAGAAGATCCCTGCGTCAGGATAATTACCTGCAAGGATATCTTCATTTGCCCAATGTGGTAAAATTACTATAATTTAACTGGAAATTGTGTCTTGTTTTCAATATGACCACGAACTCTAATACTTCATTTCCTATTCATGTATACTTATTGGTTTTACTGAATACGGTCATCTTCTGTAAGTAAGCTATTATTTTTGAATTCAGTAAGGTTTACTTACCTTTTGAGATTTTCTTTTAATATCAGGAGACATTTTAACAGTAGGTTTTAGATCCTTTGGTGGCTTATCATTTGTACTATATTGTCAATGTCTTAAGACAAAAAATAAATAAAAACTATATGTTTAGTCCTTTATTAATAATTAAATGTTCTACAACCTGTAACCTTCCACTAAATAAACAAACACTTCCTCCCCCAACAGAGGTTGCAAGTTTCCAAATACTTAGCTTAACGTAAAGAAAGCATTTAGTATTTTAATTTTATAGGAAGGAATTGACAATTCTTTATTTTTGGTGTATCAAATTCTTTTGGTCCAGAATTGCCCCCATATACCTCAGAAGATGTAGGTTATCTGTATCAATATATATATATATATTTTAAAGCTTTGTTAATGAGGGATTTATAAACCTACATTGAAGAGCGACCATTTTCCCCAAGGTTGATAGCACAGAACCACCATCCTTCTCTCCCAAGATATTTTATTGCTCATCTCTCCATAAAAACAGTGCAAGCGATTGTGACATCAGAAACATCACATTTTATACACACACTTCCTTTGAAACTTTTCATTCCGAAAATTCATAAACCTGTCGAAATGTCCCCTTAAAAATTCAAAACAGGTCAAAATATGCCTTTTTCAAAAAGTTTAATCCGAGAGAACCCATCCACTGAAGATGTGCCAACAACCAAAGTTTCATATCATGAATATTACAGATTCAATCTAAACAGATTTTGGTCCAAGAAAAGTCGCTCTCGGGAATACATTAAAAAAAATTAATCTAACATTACTAAGAAGATTCCTATGTTAACATAGTTATGTGAAGATTTAAAGTATCCTAGTATTTATGATTTTCATCAAAATATTTATTAACACAACTTTTAATATGCAATTGCTCCTTTCTGTGATCATTCTCACACTGATGGTTCTTCAGATTTTATCTTTAATCATGAAAGATATTCTCTATAACATTCACATCTTTAAGATTGTGGAATATTTTTCTACCCTAAGTATATTTGTAAGGATACCTTCTATCCAAATACTCAATACTAAGCATCAAAAACATTATGTTTTTAAGTCAAATTGTTCGACAGAACAGTATTCAATTCAAAGGAGGTAAATCTTGTACATTCTTAGTGACAAGGAATATGCATTCACCAGGTTTTATTTGTTAATTCATCTAGCATAATGCTCTTTTTAATAAATTATTTTACAAACATACCTTTTGGACCTCTACTTAGTCTCAACACTAACTCCTTTGCTAACATGTAGTAATATTACATATAAATTAAATTACATTTTAGTTACATTTAAATTAAAAATCTATCTGAAATACAAATAAGATGGCTAAGAAATGGTTTTTAGGTTTACTGATGAGGGTAATGAGATACAGGTGGGTTGTCTCGCCCAGTGCTCCACAGAATCCGTCTGGAAGCTCCCTACCATGTCTGCATTTGTTAGATCTGCTTGTTGGCCTCCCCCCTCATGAACCCTAAATCCAACTATAGGATATTATATATGTCTAATTGCAATGAATGTTAATTAAGTTATAAATAAAATAAACAAACTTAATTTGTTTAAACTCTTCAACCAGAAACCTCGTAAACTTTAAGGTACAATGTTTGGATGTTATCACAAAATTAAATATATATTTGTAAAATAAATTTGTTTTCATTTTAATGTTATTAACTTTTGAGTTCTACCAATGGGTAGTTTCTCTTCATGTTGTACATGTCATGTTACCAATGTCACATTTACTTGTTGTATTTTCCATGTAATACAGTTGTAAATTTCATTAAAATAGAAAAAAAAAAGTTATTAAGGATTAAACTGGCAGAAAAATATCAAATACTTAAAAAAAACCAGTCAATTTATTCTTGCCAAGTTAAAGGTTGAAAGACAAAAGACAAAATGCATATCATGAACACAACTAACTATAGACTAGAAAATAAGGTGAAATGAAAGAGAATAGAGATTATGTATAGATAATGAAATAATAAATTAAAAAGTATATTTGTAATAGGAATATAAATATAAATTCAACGAGTAGGTATTTACAGAGAAGATTTTATTTACAAGCTGGTTAGAAAAAAAATAAGAGTTATCGGATGAAAATAAATTTAAGGCGAAAAGTTAAATCAAATAATGTTTTCATGGAAAACAAATCAACAAAATAGAGATGTCTTCTTTGGGAAAATTGAAACGAAAAATTCACTTTTTTTTTGCATCTTTGAGCCCAGCACCAGCATTAAACTTGAAAAATATTATGTCTCCATCATCAACAACATAGTTGCGACCTTGTTGCCGGTATTTACCTGCTGCCTGCAATAAGAATAAGACATTCTTAATTAGTTTCTATGTTTAAAATATCTTGATTTCATTAAAGAAAGTATCAATAAATCAAAAATAAATATAATATTAAAATTCATAATTCAACAAAGCTTTAAATAAAATAAATAAATCAGTCCTGTAAAATCCATTAATGGTCTAGGGCAGTGGTCGGCAAATTTATAAGCCAAAGAGCCAAATATGAACATTACAACAATTTAAAAAAAAAAATTGAGAGCCAAATCTGCTTGTTTAGTAAACTTTTATTACACTAAATAAATATTTATTAATACGAACAATGTGCTTGCATCTCCTTGGAAAGTTTAAGTAAGTCATTTCTATATTGTTGTTTTTAATTTTAGGCAAGATTCCAAATTCTCATCAATAAGACAACTTCTCAGTTTACTATTGATAATGTTCATGCTTGAAAAAGATTGTTCGCATATATATATATATATATATATATATATATATATATATATATAATATATTATATATATATATATATATATATATATATATATATAATATATATAATCTTATAAATATATATATATATATTATAGAACCGAAAAGGAAAAGAACAGCGAACGTGAGCTTTTTCAGCTGATCGTAAGAGTCAGGAATACTATTTCAAGCGTTGAAAATGAAAAGCAGACCACGTGTGTTGTGAACTAAGATCACATTTTATCTTCTCCAATATTTCCAATTCAACACAAAGACGTTCGAATTTAGAGCACCATATCTACTTGTTTTTTAAATCCAGCAATTGCATTTCAAAGCTACTAATGTCAATTTCAAAAGGAGAAAATTCCAACTTGGTTATCGTAGCATTAAGAGGATTTTTTACAAATGCTAAAGTTGCTCGGCTGTTTTTAAATTCCTGAAACTTGCTGATAAATGCTTTATTAATAATAATTGATTAATAAGACAGGACAACAGCAGACACTGCAACTACTGGTCTGTGATGCCAATTTGTAGCCCACTATTTAAGAAAAAGTATGCGCGCGCATGCTTGTGGTACCTTTGTGTCACACCTGAGTACGCCGAAAGCATACGAACAATATAAGCAGGTAGCTTCTACATGGTTTGTGTTTACGTTTACGAAAACTAGTAAAATTAAACTCGATGTTCGCTACGTTACAATGTTTACAACAATATAAAATTGTAATTACCTCTCTATCTTTTAATTTAAATCCAAAAATTATACATGTTCTCGATTTATAGAAGAATTTTAATTTATCAAAATAAGATGTAATTATTTTCTTACCAAGTTTTTTTTTTTAAATGAAAATATTATTGTGCCTTCCATGAATATTTGTACCAGAGTCACACTTAAGGAGCCAAAGAGTCACATGCGGCTCTGGAGCTGCACTTTGCCGACCACTGGCCTAGGGGGTAGGCAATGACTTTAATAATAATTATTATTAGTTTTTAATGATACCTTTACAGCAGATTCAGAACCTTCCTCTTTAAAATCATCAAACTTCATCACTTCAGCCATGATGAATCCTTTTTCAAAATCAGTATGGATTTTTCCTGCGGCCTGTGGTGCCTTTGTTCCTTTCTAAATCATAAAAACAAAATTGAATTTTCAAAACGATTGTAAAGAATTAAACTATAATAAAGAATACTGATAGCCATAATGATGATCTAGTCTGGAAGCTGATCCTTACCTGAATTGTCCAAGCTTTCACTTCATCTGCTCCTGCGGTAAAGAAATATTGCAGCTGTAAGGCTTTGTAGCCTTGAACAATGATTTTATCAAGGGCACTAGAATAAAAAAATGAGCATATTTAATATATATTATCCATATGTGCTTGTTTAAGGTGAAAATTTCTGAATATTATAAAATAAGGCTCCTTTTATTTTTTCACCATATTTATTTAATTTTCATAGCTAAGTTTTGGCCGGTAAGCCATCCTCACTCAAGCCATTTTATTCAACCATGCTTTTTGCATGTAGTCCAAAGTCTAATTAATTAGACTTTGGATGGCTTACCGGCCGGAACGTAGCTATGAAAATTAAAATAAATATGGTGAAAAAATAAACGGAGCCTTATTTTATAATATATATTAATTATTACTATTATATAGGGTGTTTCAGAGTTAAGTGGTCAAACTGCAAAAATGGACAAAGGACCTCAAAACAAGAAAAAAATTTCCTCTGAAGTTATGTCCGCAAACGCTTTGTTCAGGAGATATTCACACCTAAAGATTTTCGTTATTATGAATTATTTACGTTATACAAAATAAATAAAACCTATTTATTTGTTCTAACTACTTTATTAATTAAATGTAAACATTAACACTCATATTAAATGTTATGAGAAGGATAACATTATTAATTGTTAATTAAAAGTACCATTTTTTTAAAAATTTAGTATTTATTTGACCGCACTCCCCGATCGACTCCTCATATTATATCATGGTCAACCATCTCTACATCATATTAAATGTTGTTAAAAGTGCACAATGCTATGATAAAACAAATAATACAGCTCCAAGACCTGGACACTGACCAGCAGCCTAGAAAGAAAGATTTGAGAAGAAAGCTATCTGTAATTAGAGCAATCTGGGATCGTAGTATTAACCCAGGTTAGAGAAGGAAAAATAATGAACCTCTAACAGAAATTGGCCAGCCTATATCTCACAATATGATTGTAAGGATATGAAATGGGCAGGACATGAAATCCAAAACAATCCATCAGGAAGCCTCTGCACAACAATGACTGCCATAATAGTTGGCAAGAGACAACATAGGAGTCCAAATCCAGATGGATAGATAAAATCAACAAAGATGCTGCAGAGGTGCATGGAGCAAACTGGAAAATAGTAACTTAAGATGGGCAAAAATGGAGAAGGCTGGTTCAGGCGGTAAAATGGTCTGTAAAGCCAACAGAAAGAAAAAGAAACTGGACTTGATATGATTATGATAAAGCTTTCTAAAGTTTTAACTAAAAATTAATAATACAGCTGTTTGCATGCTAACTCTTGATCACCCTGTTTCTGAAACCAAAAGGATTAACTGATATTGGCACATCCTTAATCAGAGTCAGTTACTTACAAAATTGTGCTCAGTAATGATGAAAACATAATTTCTAAGATAGAATAGATGGACCATGTTTCAATGAACAGGTACATTAGAAATAAGATTCAGATGGTAGAACAATAAAATATGATTGCTTGGCAACATCTGTAAGAGTAGGCTGGATTAACAAGAATTGATAATATAAAAAAAAAACTATTATATATAAGCCAAAGACTCCTTTAAATCATATTAACATGTAAATATTACTCTAATATTGTTACCTGGGAACTTTACTCTCTTCTAGGAAAGCCTTTTTTTCAGCTTCTTCCATGTCAATTATTTTGTTCTCAAAAGCACCAGATAATGGGATAATAATTGCACCAGGATCATTCTTATCGACCCATTCTTTGATTTGAATCAACCTATCAACAGACAGGTAAAATAATCAAAAAGAATAATAAAAAATCTATGAAAGAAAATTTATCTTAATATCAAAGATAATAAAAATACCATTCCATAAAATTGGAGAAGCACATTAAAATTTCTTTTTTGATAATGATCAATCATAATATAAAAAAAAAAATTCAAATACCACTTGTTTTTCTTCCTGATGTAATCCTTCTCTGAAAGGTTCACGAGGTAGATAACTGGTTTTGTTGTTATAAACATATACTTGTTCAACATTTCTATCTGAAATTAAGCAATATAAATTAATATAACATTAATAGGAAATAGCAAAGCTTGACATTCGATATAGATTTTACCAAAAATTTTAGCTTATATATTTGTATTATATAAAACTTCTATGAAGTGATAAGAACCAGACTCAAATTATTTTAAGCCTAGCGGAACAAACTTCCCACATATTTAAAACAAAAAATGGAAACTTGATTTGTTACATTGGAATAACTAACAAATAAACTAGGATACATCATACCAGTAAAAATATAAGAAAAGTTGTTTTCATAAGGCATGAGAGGAAATGCACATGATGAGATTTGGAAAAAGTCATTCTGAGATTAGTGTTTTAAATGTGTAAGCCAGTGATTATTTTTAAGTATTCACCTATTCACCAAATCAATGTTAAAACATCCAAAAATGTTGAAATTTTAAATTTTATTTTTATATTTTGAATTTTAATTTTTACTATTATAAATATTTGAAATAAAAAATTCTTATAATAAATTTAAAAAATATTTAATATATATACGTATGAATGAGGTAAAAGTTTCATCAGAATCATTAGAGCTATTTTGTGCTACATTAAACATGGTGTTTAAAAAAAAAAAAAAAACCTATTCAAGAATAATCATGGCACTGACATATAGTGTCCTAATCCAGTAGCAAAAAGTTATTTTTGGTGCTTTAGTGCAATGAATTTTAAACACTTAATGTTTTTGCTAATCTTCTTAAATGACAAAAAGGACAAATTAAATTTTTGACACACTTTATGGGAATGCTTGCTAAATATAGAGGGCAGGAGGGAAATGAAATACTTCTCGCAGACCAAACAGACTAGGGAGGGATTTCATTCCCCTAGTCTGGTTAAATAATAAATCAACCATGACAAATAAGGAGAAAATTTGAAGTTGTAAAGGTTATAGTGCAAGGAGTGGAATCTCCAGTACTGGCATCAATTGGAGACGAGCTAGTGGGTTCCCAGACGTTGTCATCATGTGACTTCTGTACATCTGATGCTATGAATTTTAAATTCTGTTAGGAGTGGAAAAAGCTTGCCAACTTTATCCAACCAAGACATAATGTCCATGAGAAAATAAGAGAGCGTATCAGTAACATCCAGCAATACCTTGAATCGCTTAGTATAAAATTGTCTGAGTATGCAGCAGAGTAGACAAAGGATAGGACCACTGTAGGTACACTAACATCAAAGCTGGAGAACCATCAATCAAAAAAGAGACAGGCCTCTTAGAAGGGAAATGGTGGAAGACAGAAGAAGCAGGAGGAAAAGGTGTCCGAAGAACAGGTGAAGGCACCAGGAAACTGGAGGAAGTACAGCAGCATCCAGTGGCATCAACTTCTAGTAGGAAACCCAACCTCAAAAAGGACCAAAGGAAGGTCGTAGAGCATCAACGGGGCTCGGAGCAGCAATAGCGCCTAGAGGAAGCGACTACTGCTCCCGTAGAAGAACAGTGGCAAATGGTAACCAAGAATAGGAAAGAAGAAAGTCATGCCCAAAACAAGATGCTCTAAATGTAAGAATTCCAAAATCAAGTACTTTTGCGGATACATTCCGGAAGGTCCTAGAGATGTTCCATCTCTCAAAGGGGTGGGTAAAAGTTTTACAAGAGCCCCGAAAAATAAAGCGGGCAATCTGTTGAGGACTTATGTTACCTTCGAATAATCAAAACAGCAATATTTATACATCACAAAAATGCATTAAAACCAAAATTGGAAAATTTGGACATGCTTGGTTCTTTTTATCGAGACCTCAATTAATACATAAAACTAATACAATTAAGGCTTTACTTGAATAAGGATAAAGTTTTTTAAAAGTTTAATGAGAAAATTAGCTATCAGAAAATCTATAAGCATTATTTATTCCCTTACATCAGGAAATATAAATCACAAAAATCATTCTATTAAAAAAAGTCAAGATTTATTACCTCAACAGCATTCCAGTCACCAAACCTCAAATGGTGTTTTTCTTCAACAAGGACACTCTTGAATTTCAGTAATGCATCCTGTCATAAAATATAAGTTTAAAGTAATGATTTTGAAACTATTTTTTATTCTTTTATACTATAGCTATTTTAAGGAATTTAAACTTACATATTCCGGCTTCAACTTCTTGTCTCCTCCTCGCCCAACTGTGCGCTCCATTTTTTCTAGATTTGTCATCAAGAATTCCTGATCCTTCAGGCGAAGTTCCTCACCGATAATTTCTAAGTCCCTAATAGGGTTTACCTCACCTTCAATATGTGTAACATCTCCATCTTCAAATGCTCCTGAAATGAGGTTTGTCTTTTTTTCAAACTAGCAACTCTGGTTTTTTATTGTTACTATTTATTTTAATTTAAGGAAGGAGATAGTCCGGGGTGGCAGTCATAAATAATGGCAAAACTATTTTATTAAAAGCTGTTTCGACCCGACTTTGCAGGTCTTCTTGAGGGAGGCGTGTTCAGCAAGGAGTTTCACATTGAACTGCCAGTTCTAAATTCAAATCTCAACCTCAACTCTGTTTCTATTTAAAAAAATATTTCAACACACTTTACTCCTTCCGTCAATACAAATTGTTTAAATTATACATATTTCTAATCGATTTTTACAATTTTTTTTGTTTTGTAGATAATTTAGTAATCTTTCTAATTAACATGGGTACAATCAAGAAAAAAATGCCTACTTTATGACTTATTCGCAAATAAAGTTCCTTTTCCTTCATAACTTTTTTCCAGAAATTTCGGGGGGATAGGACTATTTTTGCATTGGAAGGAGAAGAATATCTTCAAATTGAGTGATCAAGCATTGGATTTGATGAAGAATTGACATAGTTACTGACAAAAAAACACCTTTTAGAAATAATATATAGGATATATTTTTTCACTACAGTCAACCATCAATCCATAATTTTAAATGTTATTGCTGTCAAATTAAGATTATCAAAAATTACAATGGGCATCCAATTTCAGTTAAAGTTAAAAAAAAAAAAGACTAATGGGATTCTTTCAAAGATAAGTAATAGAAAGTTTATTTAAGAATGGAAAACTATTGGATAAAATTCAAATATGCATATCGCTACTGTTAGTGCAAAAGGTCGTAAGTAACAATTTTTCATTTTTATTCTATTTGTGTTAAATGTTACATATGTTGTGTAAATGTTACATTTTGTAGTCTGCAACTGCAATAAGCACTCTGCTACTATGGAAAATAGTAAAGGAAAATAAAATATGAAATTATACTAATAAATCATGAAGAAATAATCAGTTTGTATGCTATTCAGTAAAAAAACTCAATTTTTACATATAACCTTTTCCACAAATAGCAGTGATATTTATAAATATAAAACAAAAAGAATCATTAAACATGACACTATATTAAAATGTAACTCACGGCACATGTGGAAAAGGGCATCACATGCCTTGATATGAGAAAGGAAAGCATTGCCGAGACCTTGGCCCTCAGAGGCACCCTTCACCAGACCAGCAATATCCACCACATTCAAAAAAGCCGGAACTTTACTGAAAAAGTAATTTATCACTGTAATTTATTGACATTTATTACAAAGAAATCTATTTTCATTTTTATTATTATTGGATGGAGCTCATATGAAAATAACACTTGTAGTTTTCAATATCGAAACTATATTTACCAGAGAAGGTGAGAAGATTTGGTTGTATCAGTTCACATGGAGAAAGAAAACAATTAGGAGACTAATGTCTGAACTAAGAAACTGATCTTACTTAATCAATAACTGAAACTATAAACTTTGTTTATAAATCAATACCAGCTAGTATAAATCCAACTTGTGAAGATATCAATGACTAGTATCGGTTGTATATTCTATATGTCACCTTGATTATTAAATACTGCTAAGTAGGGTGTTCCTGTAAAGAAACAAAACTTCAAAGAAAATTATTCATCAGAACATAAGAATGAAAATGAGTTGTTCAAGGAACCAATCGTCCACTGTAAATACTCTCTTAGGGCATGAAATCATGATCCACAGAGATCACCCTAGCAGGCTAGGTATCCAAAAGAACAAAACTAGGACAGATGTTCGATACAGTTTGTCACCAGATAATAATTCGTAACAAGGAGTTGATAAAAAGAAGAAAAAATATTTTCCGATATAAATATTTTGCAGAAGAATTAATGTAACTATTTAAGGATTGATGGGCTGTGGGATTATCCATATTTTTGTTTCTTGCAGCAGTAATCTTGGAGAATGTGCCAGGATTGATCTGGAAGAAAGAGTTGCCAGAGAAAGTACAGGATAAAGTTCAGCACGCAATACTTGTAGAAAATTTATAAAAACATTATTTGAGATTGAAGCCTGAATTGGTTAATGTTGAATTTATAAGAGCCATGCAGGATTGAGGTATAAAAATACTTTTAAAGAATTTGAAAAAACCGAGAAAAGGAACTTGCAACAAACAATATCATGAGTTAAAACTTCATAAACATATAAAATAGGCTTAATAATTAATTAATAAATGGATACTGGCAAGATGCTTGCTCTGCAATCTTAAACTAATGTAAGCAAATAATCACAATTTTTAGATGGTATTTATAGGTACCCTCCAAAAAAAGACAGGTTAATAAGATGAATAAAAAGTGAACAAAATTATTTAATCATAGTATATTATATATTAAATAAAAGTATATATATGTATATATATTTTTTTCTAACGCATATTGACTCATTGACTTCCATCATTAGTTCTCTAGCAGCTATGGGGCTGTTCCAGGTGACAGTTGTGATTGTTCGGTCCTCGTATAAATATTCAGGAAACATGTGGTTTATAATAACCGGACGGGATCACTAATCACTCCCTCTTTATTAGGGTAGTTGGCAACCCTTTTGGCAGACTTCTCCATCCTACTGTTTTTTATAGGATAGGATTAATTAGTGGCCTTGTGCCCAACCCCCAATCTGGAGGATCAGGAGCTATGTTGTTGGAAGACACAAGAGTCACTCACCTTCTGGTGAGTCTCAGGGTGGGGATGATACTGTCCCGTTGCAGGAATTGAACCCGTGTCATAGTGGTTCAAGCAATCGAGTAGGGGCTGCACTTATTTATTTTAATTTTAATTTATTATTAATTATTTTTATTTATTTATTTTTTGCTTTAAATCCCGTGAACGGAATTTTAACTCGTAGCTTAAAATTTTTGTAGGCGCCTTAAATCACTCGACCACCACAGCCTCCCTCCAAAAATATACATAGATAGATAGATAGAAATAAACTTTATTCTGGGACGAGGTCTCTTACGAATAACAGATATGAACAAAAAAATAAAAACTACATCTGGCCAAAAATTACATTAGTCAATATTAAAGAATATATACAGTATCTTCAGTAAAATTATATTAAAACAAGTAAAAATAACACCATTTTGAAAAACAAAAAACAAAATAAAGAAAACATTATTTAAATGAAAAGAAAACAAAATAAAATAAAAATGGGTTGATTTTTAAAATTAAAACTATATCAATTTTAACAACCATTCACCTCAGTCAAAATCTGTTTGGCAATATTTATTTCATTGTATAACGTCATTTTGGGAAGTGAGAAGGAATTGGTAAAGATGATATTTAAATGAGGACAAGGAAGAAGCATGGCGGATATCAGATGGCAAGAAATTCCAGAAGGCAGTGGATCGGGCAGTAAAGGAATATTCAAACGTCTTAGTTCTGTGGGAAGGGATATAAAGGTCGGAAACACGGGATCTTGTTTTCTAGGAGTGGACCACGGGTATAACCTGTAGGAGATTGTAGATGTAGGAAGGGTGTCGGTTGTTGATCGTTTGGAATAGGAAAGACCCATGGAAATATTGTCTGCAGAAAGAAGGGAAGAGCCACTTTAACTCGTCGTAAAGGTGGGACACATGAGACCGCCTCGATGTACCGAAGACAAATCTTAAGCAGGTAATAATAAAAATAATGAAAATTATTAGGATTTCTTAAGGTGTTTATAAAATAAAAAATAAAAAAAATTGTATCTAACCTTGCAGGCTTGTAGTACTCACAGAGGTAATCAAACCGAGTATCAGGAACTGGGACCCTACCTAAACAGAAATATAAGATTATGTATTATCATGAAGTTAAAAACAGTCATATTTCCTTAAACTTCTATAAACCACAAAAATAAGTAGGGTAAAAAATAAATAAAACATTTAAAAATATAGCTTCTTTTCTTCTCTATTATAAGTGTAGAATCAGGCTGACCAACATCTATATGTTTTTTTATTGCTCTTGCTCAGAATATTTTCCATTCTTTACAGGACATGTGTACAAATTAATGTATCCAATAATGGACAATGTATACAAACTATGTACGTTTTTTTTTGTAATTTATTTATTTATTTTTTTCTCTCAGATAATATATCATTTTAGTTACTAGCGTACTTTTTAAATCTTATTGATAGATGTTATCTTTAATTAATTAGTCCAACAGAATTTAAATACCTGATTTTAAAAATAGCTTTTTTTTAAAGAACCTTTAATTTAGTTAAAAACAGATAAATATAAGCTGCATGAGAGAATCGGATAGTTAACTTAGAAGAAAAATAGATAAATATTTTCCTTTGGTCGAAAAGAAAATTAAAAATTATAAATCTATATTATTTCGAGAGCTCAAGGTGTCAGAATCGAATCCGGCTGATGATTAGTAATTTTTCATCAGCCGTGGGTCGACCCTGGGGCCAGGAGACCCTTCTGTAATAATTAAGAGGGGAAACGTGGAGGTTGAGCATGATATTGGTCTGTCACCTCCCTGGATAATCGTTGGTCTTGTAACAGCACTTTCTTACAATGTACTGAATCCAAGACCCTACATGGGTTGTTAGTGATACAGGTTTTTAAAATTTTTATTATTAATTTTACATTGCTTTAGAAGATCCATAACTCTTTAGCAAAAGAATTAACTACCAATGTATGGCTGATGTAACAGAATAAATAGCTGGACTAGAAACTGGGACACAGTTAAAATAAATGAAATGAAAATAATTAAATAAACCTGATAAAAAAGAAAATAAATAAACAAAAGTAAAATTAGAGTTCTTTATTAAAACAAATATTGGAGTGAAAATATTACTCAAACTCTCTAAATAAAGCAATATTTCTTCACTAATATTTGTTGCTTCTAACATGTGTAAAATGTAAATAAAATAAATGCACTCATTTGTTGAGATTTAATACTTACTTTCATTAGGATCAATTGTGCAGAAAGGAAAATTTTCAGCTGCAGCTTGACTCTTTGTCAGAACATTAAAGAAAGTAGACTTTCCAACATTAGGTAACCCAACAATTCCAACCTTCAGATTGGTACCAACTCTACCAATTAAGGGCTTCTTTTCAGGATATTCTACTTTCTTGGGACCCATGGTTGTCCTATTAACAATAATTTAGTAATTGTTATAACAGAATAACTTCAGTAACAGATAGTATGAAAGCATAATTCAGACTAATCATAACTATAAATGTTTTGAATACTACTATATTGCAAATAAATTAGAATTGCAAATAAATTGTTTTATCTCTTTTAATTGAAAAAGTAATTCTTGAAGATAACAATTGTGGTTATTGAATTTTTCTCCATTTCCTATGGGCTGTGCATGCTTTGTGTATATAAACTCTTAAGGAGATTCCTCTAGCTCTTTTTCAGTACATGGTGATGGACGAAGTTACTCCAGTTGATTGTCATGTAATTTATATTTCTTCTAAACTACTCAAAATATATACTGACAATGAAATTCTAATAATACATATTTTTACATATATCATGTCCTACTAACTGAAACAATAGCCATAATATTAACAAATCTTTTTGATATGGGTTTAAAAGTTAAAATATAATGGATTACGGGACACAGCGGGATTGCTGAAAATGAAGCAGTGGATAGCTTGACAAAAGTTCATTGCAAATCTATTCCTTGTAACCTATGACAAAACCCCTCTACCCTACTTAAAAAAAAAAACTGTTTTGATTGACATAAATTAGTTTCAGAAGTGACACGTATCAATTATGACACCTAACACAAGTATGACAAAAGTACACACTATAAACTGACACAATTCATAACTGTGAATGCACAAAGTAAATCATACTTCAAATGGATGTAAATTGAAAGATGTCACTGTGACTTTCTCATTAATTTGGTCATATTCTATATGACGGCCCTATTTTTGAAAGTAAATATTATACTTGAAGGAAGTTAGTCGACTGTTCTACATATCATGGGTGATAAATATTCAGGACGCAGTCTTTTTTAAATTTTTTTTATTTTTGCCAACGTTTCAACCCAAACATGTGGGTCATCTTCAGAGCTGAAAATTTTTTGAAAAATACAATCAGAGATATAATAGTATACGACCGCTAATTATAAATAATAAACTATAGTGATTGATGGTACATGAATCTTAACTAATATTGCAATACATATATTAAAATTAAATATGTAAATAGTTACACAAAGTAAAAATTAAAAAAATAAAATAATGTATATAATCCATTTATACAAATTTGTAATATTTTCTCATACTAACCGTGGTTTGAGCACTGAGGGTAAAAAAGAGTGCGTCCTGGGAAAATATTATAACTCAATGAGAAGTGTTTTGCTTCTATTTATTTAATATTTTTTTGTACATATAGTGTGAATGTTATCCTACCTCAATATAACCTACGATTAAGTGACAGATTGCTGTAATATTCAATAAATAAATAGAAATAAAAAAAAATATAACAAGTATTGTTCAACAAGGAGATGGCGGCCACTCAATGTTTTATTTAAATAGGTAAATTTTTAATTCTCCAGAGAAGACCAAAGAGAATGATACGTTGGTTATTTTCTTTTCTTTGTTTTGGGGTTCTTTTTTACTTTTTTTTTTTTTATGTGTTTAATCACCAAAATTTGAAGTTTTGATTTTGATATCATTTCACTTTTGTTTGATTTTCTTTTTGCATTTCTTACCTATTTATTTTATGACCATCACCACAATGTAATTTATACAATTTATAAAAACTAGGTAATATATTATAAATTATTAAACTTAAAATGTGGAACACATACAAATTAACAAATCCAGAGCCCTCATACAGGTTTGCTGCTGTATGATAGGGAAGGAGGATTTATAGATCTATAAAGGGAGAAGGCTTTCGGGCTTAAATCCTCCAAAAATGGAAAACTTGATTTTTCATTTTTCCTGATCTATTGATTCACTTCTGCTACCTCATTGGGTAGTCATAAATGGCATAGTTCTATTTTAGAAAATACAATGCGTATACATTCTTTGTATTATAAAAAAAATTATCACAAAATATTATAGGACTGAAGACCCCTTCCCCCTCCTCCAAAATAAAGTATTAGAACCGCTATTGATATCTAGCATGAATACAAAGGTTCATTGTTTAAGGTAGTGAGGAAGCAAAAATATAATACCTAAAATTAATAATGGTTTAACCTTTTAACGTATTCAAATCTGGTTCAGGCAACACACAACTTTCACTCACCGCTCAACATTGAAAAGTAATTATTTTCTGGTCATGTTAGGTTATTATAAAATGTTTGAATTTCATTTTTAACTGAGCTAAAGCTTAAAGCTAACAAATCATAAATGCCATTAGAATAACAGAAATTATATTTATTATATCACCGGTTTATTATGGACTGTAGGACTATTACTTCTTAAACTGTTATTTTCCATTGTAAAATTTACTAAAATGAAATTACGAGATTTTCATTGCCTACCATAGATTGGTCAAAAGATGTCCCACTAATTATAAGTGGATACTGTAGGGAAAAGGAAAAATCAAATTATTAACTAATTTAATTTCCTAAAAGATTACATGATTATTTTACGAAATAAATGGACAGTAGATACCTAATTATTTAAATATAATATCAGATCTAGCGTTATTAAACTACAGTAAATATATTCAAGGTCATAAACATAACCAGGAAATATTTTTGTATTTCACTTCTTCTTTCAAACAAGTACTATGGAATAGTATCTTAAACAATGTCATTGCCTTGATCCTGTTGATTTTAAATAAGTTTTTCAAATTTAAAAAACAATTGTAAAAGTTGACATTTAGTAAGAAAATTTTATTTAATTTCCTTGAAAACATGTGATTCACGTTAAATAATGGTAGTTTTTAGAAATTATTATTTACATTTTTACATTACATTTTCTAGTTTTTTTTTAATTATCAGCTTTCCAAGGATATATTATACCTATACCTTCTGACTATTATTACCGATCTGGATAAGTGTTTTTCTCCTTTATTCAATTATCTCTTTCAAAAGTTATATTGAGCATTTTTTCATAACTCCTAACAATAAAAAATAGTTAATTATTTATAATATACAAAATGAAAGGTACTTTAGAGGAAGACATGATAATGTTGTGTTCACAAAGGGAAAACTCATCGCTAATTTAATTTTCTAAAAAGTTACACGATTTTTGGGAATCAACGGACGTTGATACCTAATTATTTAAATATAATATCAGACCTAGAATCATTAAACTACAATAAATGTATTTAAGGTTATAAACATATGATTCATAGATCCCTGAAATGTTTTCATAATTAACTTCTTTCAAACAATTACAATGAAGTAGTTTTTTAAACAATGTCATTGCCTTTATTAGGTGGATTTTAAGTACTTTTTTCTAATTTAAAAGACATTTTGAAGTTTACATTTAGTTAGTAAATTTCATTTAAGTTCCTTGAAAACACGTGATTTCAGTTAAATAATATTAGTTTTCAAAAATTATTATTTATAATTTTTCGTCACACTCAATTACTTTCTATATCCGATATTGCTTTTTCTGAAATTCTCCGCTTGTCAATGATATTATACGTATACCTTCTGACTAGTATTTTCGACAATTCATTTTCGAGCTGGATAAGCTTTTTCCACCTTTATTCAGTTATTAAATTCTTTCAAAAGTTATATTTAGCTTTTTTTCATAACTGCTAAGAATTAGAAATAGTTAATTATTTAAAATAAACTAAATTAAAAGTACTTTAGAGGAAGACATGTTGAATATTGGACAATTAAGCCCTGTAAAGTAGCATCAATGGGAATAAGATCTAAATGATATTAAAGGCCGCTTAATTTTACAATGATACACCGAGTTTGATCAAAATAGGTAGAGTCGTTTTTGAGAAAATTGTAAAAATGTGTATCCCCGTTGATATAAAGTGACAAGTTAAGGAAAACCAATTGGCCAATGGGCGGTTAGCCAATTGTAAGGAAAACGTTGCTGTCACATCTGAGCCATATACAAACCTTAAATACGTAATATCACTTCCGTAAGACTTTTCATTTTTGAGCTGGACTGTTCATATACAGACGCATTTTGAGGGATTTTTTTTTATTAGTCCTTCCCTTCTTCGCCTTTAAGGCTATACGAGGTTTTCTCGGGTCAGGGAGTGTGGGCGGGGATTTAAAAGACTCCCCCGGCACCGAGAAGTGATTGCCGGACAACGGCGGTGCTGTGCACACACGTTAGCTCTCGTTCGGCCATCCCGCCCCCTTCCATTTTGCGGGACTTAGTTATTTCGACTCTGGAGACCTCAAAACGTGTATTTCCGTTGAAAACGCAGATTAGAAAATGTTCACGATCGCAATACTTTACCTTACTATATATTACATATATAATTAAGTGAAAGTAAAAAGTAAATGATTCAAAAAAACTCAATATTCAGAACATATAAATAAATATCAATACACAATCTAATTAAATTAAATCAGAATATTCACAGAATTTGTTGAAGAATGAAAAACATAAAAAGCTTTCAAAATCTCTTGTAATCAATAACGCTTGGATCATTTACTGTGTCGCTTTTTACGTACAGATATACTCCAAATATAATTTAAATAATAGGAACTTTTAAGTTGTAGTAATATACCTTCGTACTCTTAGACAAGTAAGTAATACCTTTCTCATTTTATTGATTCGTTTACACTTAGGTTTATTTTACTCGCTCATGTAGATTATTTGTAATTGATTTTAAAATCTGAATACATAAAAGTATAAGATGGAGATAGCTTCCCTCCACACGCAAGTCACAAAAATATTTTTTAGCTGAAAAATAAATTAGCCAAGATAAAAAACAATGAATCTACATGAAGTGTCTTATGTTAAGTAGTGGCAGGGGCCTACTGTTACGGATATAGAAATTACATTAATACGAGTATTCCATTACATTAATAAGCCAACCCAATAATGAGGCAAGATAATCAATCCATTAAGGCAAGATTGATGTACTCCAGAGCAGTGTCTCCTGACCAGGGGCGGATCTACGGGGAGGAGGAGAGGGGACATTCGGGCTGAAGCCCCCTCCTCCAAAATGGTAGAATATAACCATGTTATATGAAAAAAATATTTAAAAAATACGTCTTAAAAAGTATTATTGTTGGTGTAATTACATTTCAAAGGACTTTAGGAATCACTTAAACCATTTCATATAGATACCTAGTTTGTTTCTATTTTTCCAAAGTAATTATCGTTATTTTTATGAAAAAAAAGAAAAGCTTTCGGGTTGAAGCCCCCTTCTCCCAAAATTAAATCCTGGATTCGCTAGTGCGCCTAATTACTGAATCAGTTCACGCTAGTTCAATATTTTGGCCACATCCGTATTCGAAGCCCATGCCCGCCGATAACAGCAGGCTGAGTCCAGTACTTACTGGCTTACCCGTTGACGACATTTAACTAACATAACAACCATTCTCATTTAAGTAAAAAATTGGCATTGCTTAGCTATATGCAAGAACAACTGGTATACTACTTTTGTATATGGATTCGGAAATTAGTTTCCAAGGATTAGCTTAGAAGTCTAATGTCTTGAATACATTGAATTTCCTCATCCCTCGTATAGCCGATTGTATAACCAATTTCACTTTAGTAAAAATATGAGCAACTTTAAATAAAGAACTAAATATCTGTTCCAGCATAAATAAACGAAATACAAAAACCACATAAGGGACCAGAAAATGTATAATATTATGTATTCTTAGTAATCTATAAAATTTATTTTGAGGCTATTTCGTAGTATAGTATACTATTAAACGACCAATGATAGACTCGCCGAAGAGCCTAATGCAAATAAACGACCACTTCCAAAAGATCCACTCCGAACAGATATATCACGGACAATTACCTGATAACATGTTATTTATAACGCCAAATCACATAGTTTAAGATCCATCTCTAAGATTTCATCGCAACGGTAACCCAGTAATGGAAGAAAGGTTAAAAAAATCAAAGAGGATAAAACTCAGTTGTGGAAATGGAGTGGCTGGATATCCTATACTCTTACACTTTATATACTCTATATTCACCGTACCCGTGCCGCCTATTACTGCTTTTATATAAAAAAAGAAGGGCTTTGTAACGACCTAGAGATCGTCCATGTGTAATGGTCGAGTTTGCATCTCTCCTTCGGAATATTATTTATCAGAGCCAAAGGCAGGTGTAATTTAGGTAATGGTGGTCACTAAATGCTATGGATTAGGGGAGTGTATTACTGAGAAGGAACTTATACCCTGAGGGGTATAACCATTCCGTCTGTTTAAATGCAAATGGTCTCTTCTCTTAACGGCCCCGTGGAATTTTAAAATAATGATTGGAATGATTAGGTTCGGCCTGGGATAGAGGTGCAGGTTTTTTCCTTTCGAAGATGACTATCAGTGTAGCCAACCCCTGAAACGGATCAGCAATGATAGTTATTACGAGAGGGAGGGGGGGAGCTGAGCATGACAATTGGTGGCCTATTACCGGGCGAGCTCTGAGCTCTCAGAGCGGTGTCATCGCCTCTAGCGCAACAGTCCTTCTTTATTTCAAACCTCAGCCTTCTATATAGTCTGGCTTAAACATCACGGCCACGTTAATACCTACCTATATTTAATACATATTAATAAAAATAAAAAAAACTGAAAAAAAATGTAAGCCTCTCATCCATACCATGATAAGATAGTCTTAGTTTCCAAAAAATAACTTAATAAGCCAATATTTCGGCATCATTAATACAGGACAACACAAGGCTACAATATAAAGAGTAGGAGTGGGGCCACATCCACATAAATTGTGCATCATTGTGTTCCTTCAACAAAAGTTATTAAAAAAAATGTCTGCCAAGTGAGGCCAATATAGCTTTCTCACCATTTTCAATGGTTCCACATTTACCTATATCTCAAGGTCTAGCACTGCTAATATTACTTTTACTAATTATCTCTAATCTTCTAGCTTTGAGCCACATCGAACGAGACGTTTCTGAAATATCGGCATATCTTAGGAAATACATTGGCGCGTGCGCAATCAGAAGTACTGTACACGATTTAATAAAATCGCTGTAGCATCATTATTTTGCACAAAAAAACAGCTTTCTTTAAACTTTGAGCCAAATCGAATGAGTCGTTTCTGAAATATCAGCGTATCTGAGAAAATACATTAGCGCGTGCTTAACCCGAGGTACTGTACAGAATTGAATAAAATATCATTATTTTACCAATTCCCACATTTCTTTCAACTTTGAGCCACATCGATCAACCGATGAAATAAAATATATGAAGCAACCGGAAGTAGTATATGAAATTCAATTAAATTGATATGAGACCATCTAGGTTCCAATCAGCATTATCCATGAAAATGGGATAAACGGTAGTAGGTTATATGCCAGTCATGATTCTAGGGAAAATGATTCCACTTAATCACTGATTAATTTTTTAAATAGTTTCTTACGCACTTAACAGGCGGAAAAGGGGTACTGGCGTAAGCACCTTCAGACTTCTGCTACCTCATTGGGTAGTCATAAATCGCATAGTTAGTCCTATAAACAAATTTTGGATATATTATTTTGATTATATCAATGAGCTCATATTTGTGAAATAATTTAATTGCCCGCGAGACTTTTTTTTTTCTACTTTCTTTATTATACACTGAGAAAGTACAAGATGGACTAGAAGAATTATATGAGTATAACAGTAAATCTTAATTTAGTAATAGATAATTGTATATCTTGAATTTGAATTTTGTGTACTTTCAGGAAATGAATCATATTACACATCTGTTACATTATAGTTCCCGGACCAAATATTTATTATTACAGGTTTGTTAATTTTTAACAATGTTTTGGAAACTAACAGATATACTTTATCTTAGTTACATATAAGAAATAGTAACCGAATCATCTATGCTGCAGATATGGCAATAGGTACCGATTACGACGAGGTCTTCACCAAACGCGAATATTTTGTGAAGAGTAGGCTGCAGGTACTCAGTCTAACCAGAGCTAGGATGAATAAAAAGAGTAAGGAACTTAAAGCTGCATCCCAGATCTATTCTCTGCGTCGCACACTGTAACGTCCAATGGACAAAAGCCTGAATTTTTATTTTCTTATATTTAATTTTTAATCCTCTAGTTACGTTGAGAAACTATTCAAGGAATTAGAATCGTATAAAACCAATAAATATTATTTTTATTTTGATCAACAAACACATTAGCAGGATTGCAAACAAGGCAAAGTCTTCAAAACCTGTAAATGGGGTTTCGATGGAAGTTCTGGACATAGCATGTATAAACTGAAATTCCAGACTGCTGAAGATTCAGATGAATATCTTTTTTCATTGCTCTTGTTCCTTTGCAAATTGTTGACGGCACAAGTAACATTAATTGAAAAACTCCAGTTTCATCATCTCTACACTATTGTCGGCATACAAATTTATTTTTGCAAGTCATCTATATTGATTCCACAAAAAAATGCCAATATGGATATATGTTATTGTTATATTAAATTGTACTATACTGTTATTACTAATATTATTACCTCCTATATTATTTCAATTAATATTATTATAGCTGCATAGTATACATTATTATACAATTGTTACCTTGTTTTGAGTTGAAATCTGTTAATAAACATGTTTATTTGAAAATAACTATTGGTTAATGATTTTTGTCCATTATTCCCACTAATTGGTTACAATGTGCTTCGTCTTAAACTCTCTGGAGGTTCTTGCGATAGAGATGTCTCATCCTCTGCATTGTGCAAATATCTAATTGCCTTTCGGTAGAGCTCGTTCAATATCCTCCTTTCTTATTCTTTTAGATCCAATAAGAAGATAGAGGAGCTCTTTTCCTATAGATCTGTCTCTATGACCTGTCTGCCTCCAAGTGAAGATTGCTCGACAATACTTCTTATACCGGTTTCTTCAGATCTCCAGTAGAAATTAGTTTGATATGTTTTATTAATCTGTAAAGATGGAAAGTGCTCTCTAGTTGAATTATCTTCTACGCTATGCAAATTTTATAAGCTATTTCGACATTTTTGGCCATTCCCTCCAGTTTCGAAGTTTTCTCGGTTTAGTAGTATACCTGTAGCGTGAATCTGGAAGTTTTGAGATGGTAGCAGTAATGATACCTTTATGCATTTGTATATATAAATATATATAGGAATACTAAATGGTTATTTCTATAAGATATAATGAAAATAAAGGACACTAATGGCAGAAAGTCGTACGAATAAAACATTTTAGAGCCTTGATAGAGAGATAACCATCACCAATATAGAGGTATCATTACTACTACTATATTAAAACTTCCAGGATCACGCTACAGCTATGTTACTCGTAAGCGAAATCGTATCGACAAAAATACGAGATTGAAAACAGACGAATGACAAAAAATATTGAAATAGCTTACAAAATTGTTCACACCTCGACAAGTAGAAGGCAGTTAGACCACAGACCACTTTCCAAACCACACACGCCTGCGGTCGAATGGACGAATTGAGGATGAACCTTCCACGCAATAAGATTGTTTACACGAATGATAACAGTATTCAAAAGGGAATAGACTAAAACTGACATGTTTATACATCGAAATCGTTATCTTCTTTTGTCTTACTTCGATAATCTATTTACCCAAAGACAGTTATGAAGTAATGTCCAACTAACACATCTCACATTACCATGGCGCAAGTTGAGCCATCAAAATTTTTGTGGGGGTACGTTGTTTATTTATATGTACTAGAGTACATATCGCTACTCATTAATTTTCTATCCTGATTTTGACATCTAAGATGTCAAAATTATGAACGTACCAAACATCAAATAGTCCTTAAAAATATGCACAGGGTTGTTGATCTTCTTTTACAAAGACACCTCTTATCTGAATTATAGTACATGTTAATGTTATTATCTTGTTTATATGGATATCTAAAATCACTAGCGGATCCAGGATTTAATTTTGGGGGAAGGACTTCAGCCCGAAAGCGTTATTTTTTCTTCATATATATGTATAACGGCAATTAATTGAAAAAAAAAAAACGCTGCAAATGATTTCACAATGGTTTATTATCTCAAAACAATTATACATCTAAAGTAACATTACCTTCCGAGTTACAAAGAAAAAAAAACAAAAGGTGATTCCAATTATTGGACTAAACTGTTTTTCTTTAATCATTAGTAATATGCTAAAAAAAAAATAGCATTAGTTCAGTAACACATTTAAAATTTAAAAACCAAACCAAGGATATAACATTTGGAGTAGAACACATAAAAAAAAACCGGAGACCATATCTTTGCTCCTTATGATCCGATTTTAACGATTTTTTTTTTTAGGAAATTTCATAAACTTTTAAAAAACTATATACAATATCGACAAAAAAGTAAAAACTTTTCGAGTTATTCGGAATTTAATTTTACCATCCCTCGTAACTTTTTTTCCAGCTTCTTTTCGTTGAAGTATGTTATATAGATAAATTTAAAGGGCTTCGAGAAAATGACTAGCGAAGTTTCATTGAAATCTGTACATTCGTTTAGGAGCTACAGTCTATAGCAACGCAGGTTTTTCGGCCGCCATTTTGAAAGTTAAAGGCTGAGAGTAATGTCGATGAAGGAGGATCATCCTCGGGTGACCTCTGATTTTATATCAAAATTTGAAAAAAATCGGTCCAGTAGTTTCGGAGAAAATGCGCGGACGGCGGACGGACAAAAATTTTTTTATTCGTTTTTCGAATTCTACGCATTTTGAAACGTGAAACCTCAAATTTTGAGAGGGGGGTTATGTTTTTGAATTTTTAGGTCGATCAAAATGTTTCATTATTGAAAATAATAAACCAATAAAGGAATTGAATACCTACATGAAGTGGTATTTAAATGATCCTTGAAGTCCTATTAAATGTAATACATTACACGGACAAGGATACATTAAGATATAGTTTTTAATATTTTTTTCTGTAAAATATTGTTATATTTTACCATTTTGGGAGGGGAGGGACTTCAGCCCGAAAGCCCCCTCTCCCCCCCTTGATCCGCCTGTGTTTACAATTGCCTAATACTAAATTATAAGTTTTCTCCCTTTTATTAATTTTCTATTCTGATTTTGACATCTAAGATGTCAAAATGATGAACGTACCAAACATTAAATAGTCCTTACAAATATGCACAGGGTTATTGATCTTGATTTACAAACAATATATAGAGGCACTACCCAACAATAGAAATATTTTTTCTGGTAAACTTTGGTGTTATGAAGCCCCTATCCGATAACTATAGGTTTAATTTCCATTGATTGTAGAAGCATTGTTTTGTTTTCATTATTTCTCACTGAAGATACATATGTAAATTATCATTTTTGTTTCAGGCACTAGCTGCAGCCGATAACTACAGATGTAGGACAATAATAAATTAAAATAAAATTACTTTATATGATAAAACTCACTGAAAAAAACAACAACAAATCAATGTTCCGAGCATTATTAATGACTCAACCAGATTACTCTGTGACACCAAATCATGAACTTGCTCTTCTTAAAGGAAACAGAAGATGAAGAAGGGCATAGTACTTAGTTTGTAATTTGAAAAATCTTGAAGTAAAAACTAAATATCTATCTTCAGCTGAAGAGTAAATTCGATCTCCTGGGTTCAGAGAGCCTCATGATGGAAGAACAGCAGAAGGTTATAAAGAGAGGGTTTAAAGAAACAGCTATGGAAGTAATCGTTATTCAGGAGAAACAAACAGTTAAAAAGTGTTTTACTGAAACATGAAAAAAGACTAAGAAAAACAGAAGAAAAATGAAAGTCCTTTGCCTAGTCAAAAGCGATCAAGCTATTCTGGACAATTAAACACTCAATGGGAAAAAGACAAACAAAATTATAAAGTCAGCAAAAAGAGAATTCCTCAAAGAAAGATTGCAAACCATAGAGGATACCTGACAGATTGGAGATATATGCATATCCTATATTCTATACAGACAGTAGGAAAGAAACAGTAAGGTATAAAGCGAGAAATTTGTATCTGGGAGAACAATATGGCTTTCTGATGATATAAAAACAAAAGGTACTGAGCATTTGGAAAGAACATTTCTGGCAGCTTCTCAATTAAGGGAAATTCATGAACAAATAAGACATGGACCACACTAAGGACCTCAACCCATAAGAGGTCGAAAAGTCAGATACACTAGTTTAAAATTAAAACAAAATAGCTATTGTAAGATTTAAAACATGAAAGTCCACGAGAGTTGTTCAAAAATGGGAGAGGGAAAGAATATCTGAGACTTGGAATATAGGTATAATTTATAACCTAAAGAAGGATACATGTATGAGTGTAGGAATTACAGAGGCCTATACTGCTTCCTGTAGCCTACAAGATTATGACCACCAATATCCTGCTAAACCAGATATATCCATATTGTGAAAATATAATAAGTGACCACCAAGCTGGATTCAGATGAGAAAGAACCAGAACGTTATCCTAAAATAAAGCAATAGCAATTTTGAGTGATGCATACATTCAGATGAAAGATAAGAGCAGAAAGTAACAGCAGTTAAAGAAGATGTGTTGGGAATATAGAACTGATAAGTGGATGAAAAACTGAATCTGGACCATATTGAAGAGTAGACTACCTAGTAACAGCACTGTGCTAACTCATTCTGAAAATATAGAGAGAAGAAAAAATATCAAAGAATTGGAACACAGGCCTCATTTTTGCAATCCAATAAAAAAAAATAAAAAATAATCTAAATCTGAATGACAAATACTAAGATATAACGTTACTCCTTGTAGCATATAAGATCCTGACTTATATTATATTATGCAGGGTGTTTCAGGGTTAAGTGGCCAAACTGAAAATATGAATTAAGGACCTCAAAACAAGAAAAAAGATTCCTATGAAGGTATGTCCGCAAACGCTTTGTTTAGGAGATATTCACACCTAAATATTTTGATTGTTATGAATTATTTACGTTATATTAAGTAAATAAAACTTATTTATTTGTTCCAACTATTTTATTAATTAAACGTAAACATTAAATTCATATTAAATGTTGTTCAAAGTGGTTTCCTTGAGCATTAAGACAGGATCGGCATCTTTCTTCAATAGCAGCAGTGGCAGAACAGCACTGGATATGTGTTATTGTTTCACAAGATTCAATTATCCTTCTTGGAAAGGAATGAAGGTCATTGACCGGATCGTATAGACTTTTTGTTTAATGTCGCCCCAAACAAAAAAATCCAGTGGTGTCAGGTCTGGAGAGCGTGCAGGCTAAGCCACTGGTCCTGCACGGCTAATCCATTGATTGGGATAATTAACAGTTAGCCATTGTTGTGGACCTCTTCCGCAATGTGCAGGACAACCATCTAATTGAAGCCACATACCACATGTCCCTTCTCAGTTGTAGTGGAATATGTTCAACTAAATCATAGTAATCATTATTAAGACATTCCAGAAATGCGGAGCTATTAAAATATTGTCCATTTTCCTCAACAACACATTGCACTGAAACTGGTGCTGAAAATTATGCTCATGAATTGCATGGGATTTTCCTGCGACCAGAGATGATTATTTTTCTGATTAAAGATATCTCTTCTTGTAAAGATAGTTTCATCTGTCCACAGAATTTTTCCTGAAAATTGCGGATTATGCCCAACTTGATTTAAGTACCAATCTGAAAAATTTCTTCTTAGGTGAAAATCTTGCGGTAATAAATTTTGTACCTGTTGATAATGATATGGGTGAAGTCCATCTGCAATGAGAGTTCTCCATATTGTAATTGGCATAATATTTAATTCTGCTCCAGCTCTTCACTGCCAGATGGATTATAATCAAAATATTGTTATATGGTCACACTCCTTCTTCATTTCGTAAAGGGGAAAAAATACCATCAGCAAGTGGTATTATAGCAAATTCTATTCGGAAATCGCCTGGTATATTCATAACGGGCAGTTTGCATTAGCATTGCAAAAACCATATAAAAATACCATATGGGCATATTCACCATTAGTATAAATGGAAGGCACAATGATGAGTACTCTGCGAAAGCCACTTCCAAACTGATAAATGTTATTGAGAGGAGTTCCCAATGCTAATTCCAAATAGTATTAATCCTTATGTTGCCAATAGTTTTTATACAGTTAGGGATAAAAGGCCATATTAGTATTCTATCTAATCCATCTCCTAAACAAAGCGTTTGCGGACATACCTTCACTTTGAACAATATTTAATATGAATGCTAATGTTTACATTTAATTAATAAAGTAGTTAGAACAAATAAATAGGTTTTATTTATTTCATATAACGTAAATAATTCATAACAACGAAAATCTTTAGGTGTGAATATCTCCTAAACAAAGCGTTTGCGGACATACCTTCAGAGGAAATTTTTTTCTTGTTTTGAGGTCCTTAGTTCATTTTTGCAGTTTGGCCTCTTAACCCTGAAACACCCTGTATATAGTGCCTCAGAAACATAACTTCTATTAATGACCTTTCTATTAAGCCTTCTGCTCAGTAGCCCCAATCTTAAAATCAAATAATATATACAATATTGGAAATATGAATATATAAATCAATTTTATAATCTATAGAGAAGTACATGCGAACACCCTTAAGAATAATCTGTGTCTATGTGAAAAGTGATAAAAAAGAGAGGGCTTCTACATAGAGTCTGTATCAAGCCTTCATTGTTCGAGTCCACGTGAAACAATCAATATTATCAACTATATACAATTTACTTCCACATAAATAAATAATTTTTCATTTTTTTTTTTAAATGTTTTAACAGTATATGTAAACTGTATGAAAAACTAATCTCAAAAAAGGAGAAACTAATGCTGTGAGTGAACAATGAATGCTTCAATATTATGTAAGAGACCAAAACCCAGATGGATAGATAAAATCCACAAAGATGCTGTGGAGATATCTGGCTAATTATTGATAAATGAATCAAAGTTATTCCAAATCACTAATAAGCCTACAAATATTTAATAAGATGATAGTAAAATTTTACAAAAATATACGCAATGAGAAATAAAACTTAGAATTTCGGAAGGATACAAATCTTTGGTCAATATTACAAGTCCAGTAATCTTGTACATTGTAAGTTGCATCAAGTAGTGGTTTCTTTCTTTTTTTTTCATGTAAGGGATGTGACTGTGATGCAAAATCTCAATTTTCGACCTCCAGGACACCCCTCCCACATCAATTATAAATATCCACAAAACTGCTAAATTTTCATACTTTTGTCGGTTTTAACTCATTTTGACCATGAAGGAGCATGATTAATATGAAATAATATTGTATACATTTTAAAACTAGATTAAATTAACTAAATTTAAGACCACAATAAGCTCGACAAACCTAATAGGTTTCGAACTACAGGTTTTCAAAATTAGACAAATTTTCCAAACTTGAATATTATAAGCTGTAATAATTTTCATGTTTTATCATGCACAACCGTCTTTATATCTTCAATAACTTGTCTGGTGCAGGTCAGTGAAGTAAATATTTATTTAATTTAACATTTTGAAGGGAAAGTGGAGGGGAAAGGTTCATTGGGAGAATGGGAATTCATTGTCCACAACCTGATGACCGAAATTAAAATACAATAAACATTTACATCAATTAATACAAAAAATGAAAATGAAGTCAATGACAGTGTTAGGAAAATGTGAATCAAAATGTTTTCTCTGACTTCTCGACCAGGTTTAATCTTGGGATATTTAACAAATAAATATTTTCATTCCATTATAGTAAGTTAATTTGTCATTGAAGGAGCTAGATTGGCGAGTTTGCTTGGTCCTGGTTTTTCAAACCAGAGGAAATACCTTCGATTTACCTTTAATAAACTTTTATTTACACTTTTTGTATTCATTTGATGTAAATATTTATTAAATTAATTTTATATTTCAATTTCGCTCATCTGGTTATGAACAGTGAACTCCTCCTCTGTCCCATCAAATCATCCCTCTCCAAAATATTAAATTGAATAAATGTTTATTTCACCAATTTGTATCAGACATTTTAATGTAGATATAAAGACAATTGCATTTGATAAAACACAACGATTATTATAGCTTAAAATTTTCCATTTTGGAAAATTGGCTAAATTTTGAAAAGCAGTAGTTCAAAACCGATTAGGTTTACCAAGCCTATTCTGGTTTCAAATTGTAGTAAATTTAATATAGTTTTAACATATATACAATGTTTTTTGTTGAAAATGTGCTCCATCGAGGTCAAAATAGAGGGAAAACGATAAAAATGTGAACATTTAGCCGTTTAGGGAATATTCAAAAGTGATCCAGGAAGCTGGCGAGGTCAAAAACATAAATTTTGCATCTCACTCACACCGCATACAAGAAAAAAAATTAAACCTATCTCCACTCGATGCAACCTAGCCCTTTTAATGACAAAATCACTAAACTATATGACAACACATAATATATTATTTTTAGGCTTAAGGTATTCATTAACTAAAAATGCTTATTAATTAAGAATTAATTTTATTATGATGTTAATTACCAAATGTTAAATCAGTTTCACAACAGAATAACAAACAAAACCTTTCTAATTCTACAATCTTTCTTTGAGTAACAATCTTAAGTCTTACATATTTCAGTTAAATATCATACCAGAATCGAAATTGTTTTGTCTATCAGTTAAAACATTAAATAAACTTACCTGGGAAGTTAGTAACAAGAAATACATAATGTCTATCATTGTTTAGAAATATGTTTAGTTCTAAAACAGGCACAAAGTGATAGTAGTAGGTAATTGTAGCTTCAATGTTATAGTAAAGAGTTTTCATACATAAAACCACTATTTAAATAAAATATTATGTTTACAGGAATGTAATTGATAGAGGGGACACAAAATAACACCAAGTAAGGAAACAGAAAGACAAAAATTAATTTAAAAACTTATGAAAAGAAGAAAACGTGCTTGTTAAGTAAATAAAGTAATTAACCACTCACTTTAAATAAAAATAAGTGTCACAGAATAAAACTTTTGAGTCGGTAAACGTGGACAGCAGCAGGGGAGGTTACACGCTCAAACCAGCGAACCTAGGCTTTACAAAGATGTCTAAACATATTTTCTTTGTTAAAGAATATTAATTTGTGACCAGTTAATGCTATGTCTTTCCATGCTAGAAAATATTTCAGCACAGTCCAAATAGTACCTAATAGCGCGATATTGAAATCTTCAATGAGGTACTGACGGTGCAACATTATAAAATGACTAAAAGTAAATTGGTATAATATTCAATTAACTTTACTATTTGACAGTCAATATTGGCGAAAGATGTTCATTTTTCAACAGTTTGGAGAATATGCTAAGGTTTTAATACTAAGAATAAACACGCGACGGCCCTGATATAAGGATCTGCTTAGGGAGAAATCGATCCCAATCAGTAAACAAATTCAAATACATCTGTTCTATAGTAACCTCAATCAATGCCCAACTGTGAGAGACCAGCATATTGAAATCACCAAAAAAACTCAAGAAATCTCAATTAAAATATGTACAATGTAATGATAAAGCCAGTTCTGAAATACATTTGCGAGACCTGGACACTAACCTGCACCCTACAAGGAAGTCTTGAAAGATTTGAGAGAAAAATCCTCCCCACAATCACCAGAACGATCTGGAATCAAGATACTAACAGATGGAGAAGAAATACCAATAAAGAGCTGTTTACAGAAATTGGTCAACCAATATCTTATGATATGAAGGCGAGGAAGTTAAAATGGGCGGTGCACGTAGCTTGGAATAATCCATCTGGAAGCCTCTACCCAACAATGAATGCCTCAATAGTATAGATAGATTGAATCAACAAACATGCAATAGAGCTGCATGCAAATAACTGAAAAAAAAAATAGTTTAGGAAAAGATGGCTTGCTAAGATGGCAAAAGATCTATAAGGTCTGTAATGCAAAAAGGAATAATAAAAATAAATTAGGAAAACCTTAGGGAACCCTTTTAACTATAGATTTTGCGTTATGCGGTTGGCTTACCTGATTCTATTTGTGCCATCTTAACTTTGAAAAAAACAAAATAATAAACAATATTGTAATCAGCATGCTGTAAAAATAGTATTTTATTCTCCTAGTTCACAAGTGAGCTCACCCATAGAAAATTCCTGGACCCGCCACTGGATTCGACCGTATGTAGAAGAGCTTTAAGGCAGGGGTGCCCAGTCACACCAAGATCTATGGCGCATAAACTAACCCTCTCATTCAAGAAATTTTATTGCTATCCTCTTCTTAAAAAAACGATTTCGTGCATTTAATTTCCAAAAAATTGTTTCGGTTGCACAACAGTGACTCTGCGCTTCTTATCAAGTTACGCCACTAAATTTATTTTTTATTTTCATGCTTTTTATTTTATGGTTTTTAACCTATTAGAAATTGTTTGATGGACTCTGGTACCAGGGTCTTCTCTTTAAACTTAAGACTATACTGCTATACACGTATTATCTCATTCTTCAATCCTTCCTCTTCGACAGATTTTTTTCAGTTCGGCAGGGCTCGGAAATATCTTCAGTTCGTCCAATCTTGGCAGGAGTTCTCCAAGGTTCAATACTAGCCCCTCTACTTTACGTTATATACACTTACGATATACCTATTTACGATGAAATTTTGCCAGCTACTTATGCAGACGACACAACAATTCTCAAAAAACATCAAGACCCTCACTAACACTACAACATCACTTACTTAAACTACAAGATTGGTTCACACTATGGAAAATTCGGCTTAATCATGACAAATCCAAACATACAACATTTACTCTTCGAAAAACACCTGCCCTCCAGTTTATATTGACAACAATCAAATTCCTCAAACGGACACGGTACTTTACCTTGGACTCACCTTCGACAGAAGGATCCATTTTGAAGATGACATGAAGATCCAAAAGGATGACATGGGGTCCGCATGTTAAAATGAAACCTAAGACACTTAACAAACGACTCAAACTACTTTACTCTCTTTTTTCTAAATCATCAAAGCTAAAACTAAAATAGAAACTGAATACATATACATACTTACTTAAGCCCATATGGACGTACTCATCACAAATATATAAAAAGACACACCTACAAAAACTTCAAACGTTCCAATCAAAATTATTGCGACTCATAACAAAAGCACCATGGTACGTGACTAACAAAACTACATACTGACCTCCACTTTCCAACAGTTGACCAACATATAACGATCCTTTATCAACGATTTTACACAAATTTAAATGGACATAATAACAGACTAATAAGAGACATGGCCACAGCTGACATACTCCAGAACATGAGGAGGTGACTAAAAAGGCGTTGGATGAGAGATCTTCTTTCTTAAACAACCTAAGTAATTGGAACAAGTTAGGGAAGAGGTACTGCTGAGTATTTTCCTTCCCCATGCCTGTCATGTCATTATTTCATGTATCGCCATCACATTTGCTGATTGTCATCAATAAGTTGACAGGCGCAAATATATATTTTATAAACAAAAAAAAAAAAAAAGAAAAGAAATTGTATGATTGAGAGCGTAGTGATATTGCATATTTGGTACCTTTGTTTTGGGAAATCTATTCTTTCCAATTTTATTTTTTTTAAAACATGCCAAACTTTAGGAAAATCGATAAGAAAGATTGAAGATCCATAACCTAAACAAAATTATATATTAATTTCGTATTTTAAATCATAATTTAAATAAGATACTCTCATGTGTAGTAAAATTAATTAGGATATTAGACAGTAATACTGAGGAAAAAGATAAAATCATAATATCAAAAACCTTATGCGACAAAATATTAAATTGGCTGAAATGAGACCAAATACAAGAGCCAAAAAGAAATTAGTTTTAAAACGTTGAAAACTAGTCCATCAAAAACTATAGATTAAAAAAAGATTTTAATTAAAATAAAATCCGACTACAGAAATCGGGGAATCCTACCTACCATAAAGAAATCTACTTAAACGTATCGGTAGATTAATAGAGAAATTGACATCTTGGAATATTTAAACTTGGTGTAGTGGTGGGATGCCTACCACATTCCTGACGAAACTCAAGACTCTTTCATGTGTCGAAATACACCCATACATGGAACGAAATCTATTTGCCAGCAGCTGCAGTGTGTAGTGAAAGGCACATGACTATTACACCAAGTTTAAAAATACGTAGATATCAACTTCCATAACAATCTAATATCAATTTATCATCTAAGTATCAAATTAAAAATAGATCTAACCGATCATTCAAAAAATCTTTACTTAGTTTTTAGCGTGTTGATTAATCACATTTAATTCAATGACGCTTTGGCGTTTTAAGTTAACGTTGTGCTTCAAGTCACTGAGGGGATCTATCGAATAATTTGAGCTGTCAAAGTTAAAAATCGACATTTTTCATATGTTCGTTCGAAAAATCGTTACATCAAGCAAATTGTTTAATCACATTTAATTCAATCACGGAACAGTATTCTTAGCTGGAATTGTTTCAAAGCGATCAGGTTATCTCACCGAAAAAAATTAACAATCAAACTTTAAATTCGATCCAACAGCTCGCCCGAACATTCCTCACATAGGTTTTAGCCGACAATCCGAACACTTAACCCTCCTGTCACTTCGCTTTTAAAACATTCAGGTTATTTTACTGAATAATTTAAGACACTGGTCTCCAAACGTTTTGGCTCACAAACTCGAACACTCTCGCGTCGCTTCGCTTATGTTAGTCGGGTCAAAAGTTGCATTGTTCACAACTTAATAAGCAATAATATAACCATCGTGCCAGTAAGCCGTAATAAAATAAATACTTATTTTTGTTTGTTTTAAAGTTGATGCTCAGTTTCTTCAGTCGTACAAATGCTAAGTATATTATGGTCAGATTTGGATGATTTATGTATAAATGTTTCAAACCCTAGAGTCATTCACACTGTTGTCTTATTTACTGCTCCTCTATATGAGATGATTAATTGTTTCTGGATCTTCTCTCAATATATCTTCTAGGTCAGTAGAGAATCTATTTTCACATGAGCTATGCACTCTATAAGGACGCGTTATATTGTTAAATTACGCCCACAATAGGGGCATAGTGAATTTTCTTTTTTCATCAGATCCATGGATGAATCGACTATGACCAATTCTAAAATGGTTAAGAATCACCTTTTCTCTCCGTGTCAACTTTGGATGAATGAATGTTTTAAGATTAACTATACAATTTCTTAATGTTACAATCCATGCCTTTTTTAGGTAATAATTTATTAATTTAGGAATTTCAAACCTGTTTTTACGGCTATCGTTTATTTTCTAGCTTGAAAGAATTATAATTTATGGAGAAAAAAAATCTCATTCCAGAATACATTTTTAATTATTATACTACATTTTGTAATTAACATTGTATCATTAGAAAATCGTAATAATAATACCGTAATTTGTGGGGGAGGGGAGGAGAGAATAGTGGAGCGGTATATTTGTCATTTACCCCGAACAGCAGAAACCTACTATACAGTCTTTCTATGTACACATTTTATATGTTGGTAAGCACAAATAAAAATATGGACATGGTCAGTGCCGAACTTATGGCAAGGTAATTCGAGAGCACATCCAGGGGCGCCGAAGCAGAAGGGTTATTTTTGGGTATTTTCAAAAATTAGAAAGCCTATTAATGTACTCATTTTCGAGGAAGTCATGCATTATGTGATAGCAGCTGTCAAGGCCAACATTAAACATGATATATGTCCCTATTTGATATATCTTTTGTCACCTTAAGAATTCTTAATACTATCTGAATTGAAATTTATAGATTCTAATTTTTAAGTTTCGGGACAAGAGGCGCGAACTAAGTAGTAAAACAATTATCTTTCCTACAGTTCTTTATGGGTGCGAAACTTGGCCGCTTACATTAAGGGATGAGCAGCGTCTTAAGGTGTTTGAAAATAAAGTATTGCGTAGAATATTCGGACCGAAGAAGGATGAGTTAACCGGAGAGTTCAGACGGTTACACAACGCCGAATTGCGTGAACTGTATCCGGGTAATATAATTGAGGTAATTTCATCGCGGCGAATCAAATGGGCTTGTAAAGTTGTTGGGCTTAGTAACGAGGGAATTCCTAAAAGGTTAATA